ACGAATCTATTTGTTCAAATTTAAACATCATTATTCTGAAATTGTTATATCTTGTGGCCGAGTGGATGCCCAGTTAACGTATTACTTGATAAGACCGCCAATCAGAGAGCAGCAAGTTATCGATTGGAACAGTCACACACGAAAACCGTACGAGCAGTCTACAGTGCTAATCGGTCCTACTTCTGCCTAGTCCAGCTAGTTAAGTCCAGAACACCAATAATAGTCTCTGTGGTATGAATCATTGCATTTCAAACATAATGTGTTTATATGCCAAACAGACTGACCACACCGTACCAATGAAATAGAAAACAACATTTGTACAAGATTTAGCCAAATGTGGCTGTGAATGTGGGAGGCAAAAATTAAGAGACTAGTGATAGCTCAAGAATGGTAAATCGTACAATAATAGTCTATAGGTCAAAATAAAGCTTATAATAAAGGGAACGTGAGTATGAATAGTTTAGTTATTAAGCAATTATACGATAATAAATATATGCATAATACTGGTCTATAAATGGATGCCAAAATTACCATTCACTATTGTTATCGGGGTACAACAGATATATTTTAGTGAATTCGATAAACTAGTTGTTTATTGTATTTAAAATAAATTTTCTTGTTCTCCATACTATTTATTTATAAATAAGTAATTTTTAGTAAATAGAATTAAACGACTTCTCGAACATCACTGACAGATCATTCATCACATCTGTCCATTAAGTATCCAATTGGTTGAAAACTTATAAAACAACAATGGTATAGAAAAGCGTTTTTCTTCGCATAATTTCTCCATCAAAACATGTGTATTCGTAAATGTATATTATCATTAGCAATATGTAAATTTTATTCCTATGAGATTTCCCTTTTAAGGATTTTAATGTGTTCATATTATCAACAAATAATTCAATGTAACTAATATAATTTATATCTATTCGTTAATTAATGGAAACTAAAATGATTTATTTAATTTTGTTTTTAGTGTTGTGTGTTTATAATTAAGCAATAAAATAAAAATAACACGACAACAACAATATCATTGAGAGGAAAAATGTTTTCACATTATTGTAGTTAATATTTATCATAAATGGAAAACAAAATTACCTTTTTAATGAGAATATAAGGAAACTTTAAAAAATTGTCGACAATGCTAAATTATGAGTCAATTTAAGCTAGACTACCATGAAAAACCTGGAAGAACTAAATGGCCGACTCTCCCTATTGTAAGACTCTTCATCATGGCTCATCCACGATCACGCCTTGCGTGATTCGAACCCAGGACCTAACAGTTTAAACCGTAAAATTACTAAAATCTCCACAAAAACCCCCTTCTGATAATAATCATATGCTCATTAGTGACTAGCTTCAAGAGAGTTCTAGTGAGAGGCAGTGACCAGTGGAATTCAACCAGGTCTGTTGTGAGATTGTAACTCACGGAAAACAATGGTGAACGGATGTCCAATTTTGTGGATTGGTTGAAGCTAGACATTAACACCGTTGGATGACGGCTCAGTGGTCTAGATGTTAGGCGCTCGCGCACGAGACTGATATGTTGTGGGTTTGAATCTCGCGAGGCGGGATGGTGGATGCTCATTGCTGATGCGTTTCACAATATGACGAGTTGGTCGTTCATTGCTTCCGTGTTTTTCATGGTGGTCTAGCTTCAATTTACTCTTCATTTCGAATATAAAGGTACTGAAATCTCCACAAAGACCCCCTTCTGATAAAGTATTACATCTTTAAAACTTGTGAAGGTACATTTTATGTAGACCTTATTACAGCTCATTTAGTTACATATATTTGTTTATCATCTATTTAATATCTCTATTATAAAAGAAAAAAAAATTATTTTCTCAAAATCACAGTTAAAATAGAGGAATCCTAATTTAAAATAATTATTCAAGATATTGATATGTTATTAAGTAATGTATATTATTTCACAAGACGGATAGAACTAAATAATATTCATACTGTAATTAATGTTTTCTTTTCCCTGGAAAAGCTCATTTTATTCTTTTTTAAACATTAAAAATTAAAAACACGAAATTCAGCGAAGGGATCACTTTACAACGAATTTATTATCAATCGTATACAATCGTATATATATGAAAACTTTTGTTAAAGTACTAATTCCATGAGGAAATATGAACGCTAATAATAAAGGTGATGTAATACAAGGATTATAATACTAGATTACGCAACGCGAATAATAACAATCGATTCAGTAAATATAATAAGATGATTTAAAGTGATTAAAATATTTTCAGTTATAATAATTAAAGGTCATTAAAGGTCATAGAGGAGTAAAAATAAATAAGGTTATACGATGAGCATTTATGAATAAAATAATGAAACATAAGTAAAGGGAACGCAGTAATAAGAAGGTAATGATAATGACAAACGGTACTTCTTTTGTACGCATAGTTCTGGTTTGAGCTCATCGATGGTAAGAGCTTCAGCTATTTTTAAGAATTATATAAACAGCCTTAAAATCAAACTGTGGATCTGTAGAACGATAACAGTCGATTAGGTGTTCAAGTACAGAACTCCCAACTGCTTTCCTTTCACCCTTGTAGAACCAAACTAGTATTGATAATTGTCAAGGGTTAATTATTTCATCACATTATTATTCCAAAAATTACTTTAATGAAAAACAATTGGCGTTTACCTTCAATGGGTGTATATTTTTTTATATTTTAATATAGCAATTAACCATTTCAGTGTAGAAAACTTCCTATATTCAGATTCACTAAGATTCCTTAGACATTAGAATTGGCTAATAGTTTCTGTTAATCGAGTTAATGTTTTGTAGGGTTATTCACTTAGTGAATTTTAAAGTTTTTTTAAGTTTTGTAAAACATTGTACCTCATTTAGGAAAAAGCGTCAGAAAACTCTTTACTAAATTATACTTCACTTTTACTAAATTTTTATAGAAGAAAAATTTATTATACATATTTGTTTATTGTCTGGACACACATTACAAATGCTATATTGAGAAAAAATATATTTGTGGGGTACATGATACGTGTATGCTATCAGTTAAGTATTCAAATTATGATAACATTAACTTCAAAGAACATTAGAATTTAATAATTTAGTAACTTCACCCCGTTTGCAGGATATAAATGATTTCTGCACAGACTAATACCTTTCAATACACTTCAATGCAATACATCAAAATGTTATATTTGATCTTTGTATTATTCAAGTTTACTTCATTGTTTGATTTGTTAAAGTATAGTTCACTATCACTATCTGACCGTGAAAATTGAAGTTATTTTCTGTTGCAAAAATTAATATGGTCATTAGATCACTTAAAAGCGATAAAACGCTTTTATTATGTTCAGTTTAATTAAAACTGCAGTTTACAATTATAGTTCTCTTGTGTTCTTTTCATCTCTACTTATAAAACCGAAACTATTTCTTTTGTCACGCACAAATCATAAATGACCGCAAGAAATTTGGATAAATGGACATGAAACACTTTTTCTTTATTATTATTATTATACTTTTTAATTTATCTAGCGACTTAGAAATTCGAAAATAATTTTTTAAAAAAACTTTATTCTTAAATGGCACAGATTCTAAATGTACATACCAGATTGTTTTTGTATTTCTCATGTTTATTTGACAGTATGGAACATGGATTCTTAACGAAAGGTTTCATACTCTCATTAATAATACTTTTTCAAAAAATTAAATTTGTTAAAGCTTTAACTATCCAGAAAGAAAATAACGAAATGCGATTACCTCATATGAAGACTACATGCTTGGTAAATCCATTAAATAGGGAATGTAAAAACTTACAAAGTTATCAAGATGAATTTCTCTTACGCCCAAACATTAAATTTGATTAAAATTGAATCTTAAATTGCCTTAGTTTGCTCCCTTGTCGATTGATAACATGATATATGAAGTTACTTAATTAATCTCTAGCTAATTCAAAAGTATCAGATTTGAATGACCTTATTTGAAGTCTAGTGAAACTTTATAAACACTTTACAATTCTTGCTTGCTTTCGCCTGTCACTCCCAATGGAGCATAAGCCACCGACCAGCATTCTCCAACCCACTCTGTCCTGGGCCTTCCTTTCTAGATCTATCCAATTTTTGTTCATTCTTCTCATGTCTGTCTCCATTTCTCGGAGTAATATGTTCTTTGGTCATCCTCTTTTCTCTTGATCTTCAAGATTCCATGTGAGGGCTTGACTTGTGACAATTCAGTAGGTAAATATTAACGATTCATACCATGTATCATTTATCTTAGTAAAACCATTTTATAATTAGTGTAAAAGTTTTCCTAAGAACATGACACTCAATAAATCGATAGAAATCTTATACAATTACTATCTATGTACGTTTTTTCAAAAGTAGAAATATTTATCGCCCACCATTTACTGATAAAATATTGATACCCATTGTATCAGTATAATGTTAAAAGAAAAACTATAATGAAAACCACGAGCATACAGGTAGTTAGGAGTTTGAAATAATGAAAGCTGTACTGTTTCAGTGTCTATAAGTAAAATGTATGTACTTTATTAACATACACTGTAGTATACTCTTGGTTTTCAATTAAGTAATATGGATTCCGTGGAATTAAAGCTTATGGTTGCTGTTATCTCATGTATTTTATCAATTTTTCCTTTTTTATACAGTTAATTATTACCACAGTAAAAGCCACTATATAGTCATACACAGGGTCTACTTTACGTACAAAACCTAAATATTGAGGAGAAGAATGTTATCCTTATTATCTCCATTTGGTTGTTTATAAATACAGCAACAGTAATTCAATCAGTTATATTTACATAATTACCTTATGAAGTTTGAATGTTTATGCTCAGGTTCAGTTTGTTATCTATATTAGAAGCATTCAAGGCTCAACAATTCTCAGTTAACTTCTTCTAACAACGTCCTTTCATAAAATTAAACAAATAGGCCTAGTTCATTTTTCTTAAGTTCAATTATCTATTGCTTATTTCATTTTGATTTTTCTACAGATAAACGATGTCAGTGTTCTTCTTGGTTCAATTATATCAAGGCGCGAAATGCTAGAACAGTCCCAAAATGCAGCTAAGATTTTATTTCCCACATGTGTAAGTAACAGTGACAATTTTTTCAAACGACAAACATGAAGATGTGCAGTATATTTCATACGTTTCTTTTAAGTCAGCTTATGAGTAAAACAGTTGTAAATGCACTAAGATATTACAATCAAGACTATTGTTCACTAGTACTGATAAGTGTTTCATGTTGACTCTTGATGCTGGAGATCAGAGATTTACATGCATTTGATTTGAATATGCAAAACTCGTAAATGAAATGGTTCATACAATGATAAATTCCAAAATGATTTTCATGTGATGTTTTTATATTTCTATATTCATTTATTTTCAGTTTGATTCTTTGAGATTGTAGGTTAAGGTCTATGGGATTTTATCAAAGATATCAAATGACAGTTTTTACATTTTGCTGTTCACATTTCCTCCTTTTTACAGTGGTTAGCTGAACTGGTCATATCAAATAGACATCAACCATCAGTAAACTGTCCTCTGGAAGTGCTTATTCGTGAAATCAGGTAAAAAGTGTGATTTCATTTTTAAACACGTACTTAAATTTTTTTATTCAACGAATCGATTCTTTCTCCTCAAAGCATACCGTAGATACATAATCTTTTCCGCTTCTACTTATACTGATACTACGTTTACTACTCTGGTATTTGTATCGATAATTTTATGTAGCTGCGCTAATGTGATGTGGCAGATTGAACCAATATACATGTATACTAGGTTCAACGTTTTCTTTTATTGATTAACAGACAGACGTGCATATATTTAGCATATAACATAAAAGCTTTAGAGATAAATTATTCCTGTCGGCAAGTTGTCCATAAAATCTGATTCCTTCTTCATAACCTCATCTTATTAGCTCTGGTTACAGGAACTCCATCCAGATTTGCCTAATAAAGACGGGGTATGCAACTGAAAGACTTTGTATATTGACTGACACAGAAGCTCATTAATACTCACTTTATCTTACCGATCCATCCACAGGTCCGGAGTTCCCTTTCTTCACTTTACTAAATTATTCAGCTTTTAAACAAAATGGACCTATGTATGAATACAAAGTACGTGCTAAGTTGAAACTTATTAAGAAAATAAGACAAACGTACGTAAAGTCATTTTATATTCTCCTATTTCTATTAACACAAGAGAAATCAACATATACTACTTTCTGTATGTTTGTTAATGAAATATGGCTTTGAACCTAACAACGGCAATGTAATTGTCATATTATTCTAAATGATAAATACGAATAGAACATACTTATTAAGAAAGCAGTAACATTTAATACGGAGTATAATAGAAGTTTATTAATATGGTTCATGAAAAGCTATTTTTAATATTTTGAAAACCGATTCATTTAGATGAAAAAGCAATGAACACAGGTTGCTTAAATAAAGTTTACTTATACCATGTTGTTATGATTTTATGTCCGGCTTTTATCACGTGATTTATTCAGTAATCGAAATACGACTCATCCAATCTTAGCACTGTTCTAAACCAATGACGTTCGACCGGTATGAGCAGCCTAGCGTCCTTATTGATCCTTTACTCGCCTAGCGCTTCCAGTTGAGTCCAGAACACCAATTACAGCTTCCACTATGCAAATCATTTATTTCAGGCATACTCGGTTGATATACCAGACAGACAGACAGACCGCATCAACCCATAAAATAGAAAACAATATTTATACAAGATCAAGCCAAATGTGGCCGTGAACGTGGGAGACAAAAATCAATAAACTCAATGTAATTTAGGGACAGTAAACCATATAAAAGTAATTTATAGGTCAAAATAAAGCTTATAATATGAGGAATACAGATGAACATAATCTATTTACTAAACAGTTATACAATAAGAATATGTATAGAATGATCGTCCATTCATAGGTCCAGGAAGTTACCCATGCTTATGTCCTCATTAGGATATAGCATATGTTTATCATAATTTCGTGTTTGGAATCATAAAAAAAGCAACATTTAACACTGCATTCCTGCACACTTTATATTTGACCTTGTGATTTAAAGGAAAATGTAATTTTTTCTGATTTTGGTTACTAAATAGTGCTTCTTCTTGTAAAAGTAGGCAAGAAAGATCAAAATACTACAAATCGCTAACCATATATCAGTTCAATGTTTTGATTAATACCAGATTAGAGTGTACTCTTATGACACTCTTCTAGTTGGAAACTTTATAAATGTGTGTCATTTACATCGAATCTTGTTTTGTTTTACTTTTTACAGAAATTCAACTGATCAAGAGATTAATGTTAAAGAAGTAACGACAAGTTTTATCACTCAATTAGCATCTGTTAGCAAAAGTCAAAATCAGCCAAACTTCAATTCGACGAACAACAACCAGCACAGTGAGCACTTGTTGTATATATATATTGTTGTATATATATATATATTAAAGTTGTACGTAACTATTAGTAAGAATGTCCTAACATACACGTAAGAGATTTATCTTTACTTAAAAGTAAAGTTGGCTTGTGATTAGTTGTTAATCCATTTGATTAAGTAACAGAGCATAGATTCTGCGATACTATACTTTATATTTCGATCATATACATCATCAAGTTTACCAGATGTGATTACTGTTTAAAGGTTGTTAGTCTTCAATCACTTCTTAGTGTTTGGTTGTAGAAAATCATATTAGATACAAGTTGTAATGATGTAACTTACATGCGTTTTAATGAATTATAAAATACAGGCCGTTAACATACAGACTTATACTAATCGATTCATTCGAAGTACAAACCTATTCATCATACAACTACCTTCCCTTCATATATTTCCATTAAAATACTAATACAAAGTTATCTGGATAACCAAAACATATGAGACAGAAGATTCGATAAAATGTTATTCACTTCAAATCAAATGAAACATAGAAACACCTGACCAAATGACATCATCGTTGTATTATATTGTTTTAATTAAGATTTCTGTTGTTAGTAGGAGATATGAATATTGAGAATATTAAACCACATTAAGGAAAACCAATAATTAATTGTTTTCACAGCTTATGAAAAATAAATTTTATATCTTTCTAACAAAGAATTTCCGATTTCCTCAATTAGTTTCCTTAAATTGTAAAAGTATTATGGTATATATTTAGTATACTTCTATACTTAAATCTTTGTTATATGTTGAACAGAATAAGCATGTTCATAACCGTTTCTGTGTAAAGCAAAATCTAGCTAGTATGGATTAAAAAAAACTCATGAGTTGTTTATAACCATATACTGAGCTCATGATAGGTGAGAGAATAACTGTGCATAAGATTAAAGGTGTTATTCGATTAATTATGGTTGAAAATACTCTCTTTGCGTGTCAAACAAAAGATAAGATTAAATGTCTATATAGGATATAATTAAATTTGTCCAACAAACATCAGTTTTTCTGAATTTCAAGCTGTGAATCAGAGTTCCAGCCTTCCCTCTGTTGTGAACTAGTGAATTTTTAGTTGATTCATTCGAAAATTAAATTATGTACTATTAAATAAACCATATTATTACAGAAATCTGTTAAACTTAAAGGAACATACATTTTCACTCATTTCCTTAAAAGAAAAAAATACTTTTAAATGAAAATAACCATATAGTTTAGCTAACTTAAAACTCGACGTTTCCATCTCAGCTAAGATGTCAACTTCTGCCATAATTATAAATTTCCTTTCGAATAAGCAAAGTGACCTTCTTAATTACATAGAATAATCATATTTAAACAAGCCAGAAGTTCCAAAGAATTGCAAAAGTAATATAAAGTAATAAAGACTATTAGCTAATAAATTGCTTTTCAGTTAGTAAAAAGTTTTCACAATCAAACTTTAGCTTATATAACAGCCATGTAATAATAATACACTTAATGCGATAGACATAATTCTATCACTGCAGATGTAAACATTCATATTATTGGAGCCGAATATGACAAGATTGTTGATATCTACAGTTATTAGAGATTTTAATATTATTTATTTTTTGCCAGCATCAAACGTATTTTCAACAAATCACTCAATTTTATATGGTTGAAATCATAAGTCGATTGAAGCTAGACCACCATGGAAAACCTGGAAGCACGGGAAGGTTAAATCGTCCTATTATGGGACACTTCAGCAGTGTGCATCGACGATCCCACCTCGCGAGATTCGAACCCACGATCTAGCAGTCTCGTGCGCGAGCACTTAACCACTAGACCACTGAGATGGCCGGCATCCAACGATGTTAATGTCTAGCTTTATCTTATCCATAAAGTTGAACAACCATTCACCAATATCATCAGTGAGTTGATAGCTTACCACAGGCCTGGTTGAACTCCACTGGTTGCTGCTTCTCATTCAATTAATCAAAAATAAAAATTCATATAAAGTTCCTTGTTCTATGTTCAATATTTCAGCTTCTTAAGTATTCTTAATATTTGTTTTGGTCTAGTTCAGGTGATCAAGCATTGAAATTGTACACAGGAATTGCAACTAATTACAAGTCATTTAATAAGACATGTTCACATGAGGTTACTTTATTCTAAAAGTTGATTGATAAGAAATGATATTGTTTCTAATTTATTTTTTCTTCATTCATTAGTGATATCTTTCGAATTGAATAAAGATAATAAACATGGTGAATATGTTGCTCATTTTGTTGTAAGTGAACTTTAAAGTGGTAATTTCAAATATGTATATAATAGTTTATTATTTCAAAGCCTTTTTAGTTATTTTGACAAATGAACTTATTTGGAAGTTATTTATGATATTGAGAATCAATGGGTGATTATGACCAGTCTATAATGAACATTATTGTTTGAACTAACACGAGTTCTTCATATATAGCAATACTATTTAGGAAAATTGTATAACATTTAACGTTTGAAGACTAAATTAATACACTGCCTGTCGTACTGAGTGTATTGTAATTTTTTTCACTTCGTTTGTTTAAAACACTAAACTGTAAAAAAAATTGTTTCTTAAATGTACATCTCCTTAATAAAATCTAACGACGGTTATTCATTTTTGACCTTGCATCCATACAACGCAGTTGTTTTACAATACCGTACATATTAATAGCAGGGGTTACATCATAGATGGTGACAAAAATTATTGTTTCCTGTTTTAAAAAATGTCATATAAGAAACAATTGTTGTAATGAATATATTCGACTAGGTTTTAATCCATAAGTTCTAAATACTGCTACGAACCGATTTTATGGTCTTTTAATACGTCATCACTATTAAAAATCTCTCTCTTGAGAAAAATATATTCCCGGATGTTGACTGGAGTCGCTGCCACCGGTTGTTTGCCTTATTCTTACCTTGACAAGTATAGAGATTGCCCTCCTAATATTTTAAATTTTTCTACTAATTTTATTTAGTAGATAAAAGTGACCTCTTTTCAATTATGCCAACAATTTTCTTGTGTAAAAATAAATAACACGAATGGTCTTATGTAGTATGCACTTAAACGTCTTCTTCCATAACTTCTAAATGATAATTTTGTCATCCGTGTCCTTCTTAACAATTTGATAATAGCACCAGCAATAAATCCAGAGCTGCTTTTGATTCTTTTGGTTCATAAAACTTGAACCCACTCACCAAGTTCAAGTCCAAATACATTTTTCAGTTAACAAGAACTCAATGTAGGTTGTTGTTGAATAAGTTTCCCATAAACTGAAATTGTCTGAAGTATCGTTTTTGCTGATAACAAAATTCAAATAAGACATTTCAGTTATCATAATGTAATCATAAGAACACTGAAAGCATTTTTCCATGTTGTAGTTTATGGCAATAATGTTAAAGTACTTGGATAAATAAATTGTCTCGAGAGTATATAAATGTACGGTTTCTTGAATATTTCATTTGCTTTTATTATTTAAATAAGGAAAAACACTGTGTAGATTTAGTACAGTTGTCTGGAATCCAGTATATAAATTAGCGCGAAAGAATAACGTCACATTATTATTAGATAGATAAAACAATATATTTTAAATGTTGCATACATTGACTATGGGCTTTTCTTAATTGTTGCTTCACTCAAAATACTATATTCCAGCAGGAACAATCGTTCATTGTTCATTTAGTTTTGCCAATTCCGTTTTTATTAGGATGAGCCTTATGCGCTGAGGGTTTCTTTGCAAAATGATTCACTATGTAGTGTCAAGGTTTCTACCACATTCATTAAATCTTCTCACTTCATTGCTACGATGTTATTAAATAATATATACTGAAAACATACGGATCGTCAACTACTTTTTAATAGTCCTCAAAGCTGAACGAATTTTACTAGTTAAAATACTAAAAAACCACTAGACAGAGTTTTATTCTCACAACAAGATGCTAAAAACATTGTCATTTTCTCACTATATATCAAAGGCGAACTGAATACTCAATCAAATTTTGACAAAAATACTAATTAACTAAATACATTTACCTCAATCAAACGAATGCAGGTAGCTTACTATAAAGTCTTTACTGGGATGTTCACCATACCTTTTAATTTAACATTGATGTGTATACGTCTAAATTACTAGCCAATTACGAAATTGTCACAGATAATTATTCAATAGTAATAACTATTGAACTATCTTAATAATTTAAGCTATTTCATGTGAGAATTTGTGCATTCTGTTTGTCCATCTAGATGATTTTGGAATCACTACCTAAAGCTCACCTCCACAAGGCACAACTGCTCAAAAATCAAGTGCGTTCTTCTCCAGTGGATTTGTAATGCGTTTGAAATGATATGATATTGTGAATAATTTAATTGCATTGTAAATATATGATAAATGTTAATCTCAAATAATTGTATATTTAACTTTGATTCCTGAGAATATCATTATATGTATAATATACAACGATAATAAAGAACACTTCTCGTACTTCTGTGGTTTCGTTTAATGCCCTAGCTGATACTTTAAAAATCTAAGCAACAGTGGTGTTACTAGAAATTCTGGAATAAGACTGCAATTTATTTGATTTTCAATCACTTATTGTTTGTGATACCATTTGGTTTATATCTTGAATAGATTTGACAACACTTTAAATGTAAACTAAAACTCCGAAACAATCTTGGGAAGAACTAATTATAAAGCGTGAATTCCCCCCTGAAAGTCTTCTTGTGACATACCGTACATTCAATAGTCAAACTCCCGAGTCAAAATGCTTATAAGTAAAAAATATTCCATAATGTAAGGAAAGTGATTCATTTCACATTCATATCATAACAAACATTCTTGATGAATTGTGATCCGCAATTCATGTAGCACTTTCAAAATTTGATTTTATCATAATATCTAATGGTTATTTATCAAACTAATGTATTAGGAAAGATAGTTAGACATTACCACCATTGGATGCCGTCTCAGTGGTCTATCGGTTAAGGGCTTCGGTTCGAAACTGGTAGGTCCTGGGTTCGAATCTCTCGGGTGCGGGATTGTGGGTGCGCACTGCTGAGGAGTCCCATAATAGAACGAAACGGCCGTCCAGTGCTTCCAGGTTTTCGATGGTTGTCTATCTTCAATTGACTCATGATTTCAACTGTGAAAATACTAAATTCTCCATAAAACCCCCTCTGATCTATTAGGAAAGTCTCAAAAAGGTAATTGATTACTAACTACCAGGAAAAGAGTAGAAACATAAATCATTGATGGTCTTTTCAATATCTACCTATTTTTATCACTGCTGATTTGTAATGAAATGAAAACATTTGATTAATTGCCACACACACAATTTAATCGAGCGCTTTTCAGTACAGTTAGGCTTATTCACTGGTCATGATAAAACTTGGGTCGATATGAACATTGTTAGCAATCACTTTTAATTTATTTTTTAATAGTGTCATAAACCGGAATGACTCTTTTGTTTTATACATTTTTATGAATAAGGTAATCAAGAATGAATAATTCATCACTCATTCTCCGTTATAATTGTGCACGTAGATTGTTTTATGATGTTGGATTCACTGGATGTTTCTTTACCAGTCTTTCCATTCTTAACTTCAGAATACTTTTATTTGCTTATATTTTAACAGTTTTCGTCTACACTGAATCGAATTATTCGTCTGGAACAATTCAATGAGTTCTCATCAACCTCAACACTTTTAAAGCAAAGATATCCATGTTGCAGTCAGGGTACAGAAGCTTCAACATGGATAAGTCGTGAAGATAATACGCTGATTCTTAAGCTTTGTGGTAATTTACCTAATTGATTGCATACATACTTTACTCACCCATTTGTTTGAATTTAACCTTAGTGTTGAACCAACAGTATTTCGCAATGAAACTTAATTATGTTTCTCACTAAACATTTATTCTGAGAATTCTGAAAGCAATTATTTTACTATGATTAATACAAAGTAATCATCATTCAGATGGAAGAGTTTAAAAATATATGGAAAATTTCGGTTAAATAGCCGGTCAACAGTGAACAGTACTAGATAAGCATTGTTCAACTAGAATTTTGTACAATTTTATAATTAGTTGATTTATCCTTTCAAAATTAGAATAAATATTGTTATCATTATGTAAACACCATTTGTTATACTTTAACATTTCATTTTTTTTAATGATCATACATAAATGTAAATAAACAAAAAACGAACATTCTTCTTTAAACGTAGTGTAGCGTCAGTTTCTATGTTAAGCCCACATAGCTTTTTATAACTTCCAGACAGGTCAGTTTATTCATTCTTCCTAAATAACATTTTGACCTCGTTAATCATTCACTTGTCAACCTTGACTGTTTTTATGTAAGCGTATGTTTGTGCGGTTCCTATCTTACTCGTCAAATGTCAGTAACTTATCTTTGTTCAGCTATAAATATAGATTCCACAGCGCGTCATTTCATTTCGTTCTCTTCTCTTCGCTTTCTTCGCTTCGCTTCTTCGATCATTTTTCTGGATCAATGATTGTATGAGATACAAGCATTCAAAATTCATTCTCATATTTGACCTATTTAATTCCATTATACACTAACGTGAGTTAAGTTGATGATTATGTACGACAATAGTTAGGATGTATATTTCGAAATCAATTATCTGATAGCAATCAGAAACGATACAAATGAAGTCAAATATAAGGCAACTAAAGTGGTGGGCCTGTCAAAAACAACTTCCGATCTAATTGGCGTTAAAATAACGGGTCACTAAAGTAGGTTTTATTACATAATATACAAAATTATGAAATTTTTAAAGCTCGAAAGCCTAAAAAACATAACCTGTCATAATTTTTCATGAATTCACTACTATCGTTCACGTAAATATGTTAGAACAAAGTATTTTTATGTTCTGGTATCTGCGTATTTGTTGCTGTATTTAAAAAGCAGTAAAGAAATGATCTTTATCTCAAACTAAATTGTGTCTCACCAATCAATAAAAATGACCTATAAATGATCCGTTTTAAAAAACATTTTAAAGGTTTAGGGATTGACATGTATAATGACAAGAATCAAAACAGTTATTATTGTTTATTGACATTCCATTTACTGTTTTATTAATTACGAAACAGAATCACTTTGGGATACAGAGGCGAATCGTTTACAACATAAAGTTCTTAAATATGTAAGTTAACATTTTTCCTGCTTCCTTGATAAACAATTGACAGTTTTATATATATATATATATATATATATATATATATATATATATATATATATATATACCAAATAGAAAAGAAATTGTTTACAAGGACTTATAATTATGAGATTATAGTTTATTTGGCTCACAAATATCTTTTTCTACAAACTAGGAATTTCTAAATTACAGTGAATTTGTTGCTTAATTTATATCACTAAATACTTCAAGCTTACTTTTATACTTCGAAGCCCTTTTGAGCATAGAAATTGCTCCCTCTATTCTCATCAGATATTTTCTGAACTGATCAGTTGTGAAACATTTTTTTTCTTAGTTTTACATGAGTTGTATGTTATTGGAGATCTTGAAGTAGTTTGTAGGCAAAGTTGTGTGTTTTAATAAAACTGGAGTACCAGGAAATCAAACACCAGTCTTTTTATATTTATTATTTTTGTTCGTAGAAAGTTTAAAGTTGAGACGAAAGAACATAAGTACTTTAATGGAATATGGGGATTTGCTTAATATTTACTTAAGAAATATATAAAATGAATGAATATTTTCTTTTAGATTATGGAGCGTACTAATTCAGAGAATGGTTTTATTGTTATGCGGAATATCGACACTTCAGAGTTGGTTTGTCACGTAAGTATTTCCATTGCTTACATGGTGATCAAGTTTACCTTAAAAGATTTAACCATTTAGCTAGTGTATTTGAAACAACTAGGTGCTGAACTTAATATATAGTTTTTCTTCACCTTTTTAAACTAGATTGTTTATTCCATCTAAAACAACCTCATACATCGGTTGTTTAATACTTACAGCAAAAAAATGAAAAATCTACGGTGCAAACCGCAGGTGTACTGTTTCTGACTGATGGGTGTCTCAATCATTAAATTCACAGAATGTACTGAACTGTTACACAATACATATCCTTTATTCTTATTCAGATTAAACCAGAAACAGATGTTTTGAGATACTTCTTCTTTCAACAATGGAATTCCTGTTTCATTATATATATATATATATATATATATATATATAATTTGTTAGTGACGTATGACAGCTTGCAGACTATTGTAAACCGTAATTGGCAGAATCAATCTATGATTATGAAGTTATATTCAAATTTAGGTTTCTATTACATAATCAAAGAAATCACTTATGAAACGAACATCTAAATAACTGAAGTTTCAATCTCCTCATCAATAAAGTGACTATTGTTTAAAATCTAAATGCAAATGATATGGTTAATTTCAATGAATGTAAGATTTTTAGTTTCATAAAACAAGCGTCAAAGTATTGAATAGTATCGATTATTCAACTGACAGATTCAGCTGAAAGGTGTGTTTACTACGGACTAAAGCTTCCAACATAAAATTATTATGAATAAAATGAAAGCAGTCACATTTGTACACTTAAAAAACACTTTATAATTAATATAATGAATTTCGATAGTGTAATAAGAAGGCGAAGATTATTAGAACTATGTGATCTATTAGTGCGATATATTTCGAACAATCCGATCACACATATACTTGTTAAGAACTCCGTTTGTGTATTCAAAAAACAGTTTGTTCTCACCTTAAACCTATCCTGGTAATATTAGCTTTTTATCCAGAGGGATTAGGTTTCAAATTGTTTTCACATTATTTGTATTATCATTATTATTATCCTTGTCTCCTCTTACCACCCGTTTCCAGTGTAGTGATCAGATTGTTCAAAATGTATTGCGCTAATATGTCACCTAACTTTCATAATCTACGTCTTCTTATTACAATATGGAGATAACAATTACCTTCTGAATTAAATTTGAGTTATTGTTTTTAAATTTACAAGATGATCTACTCAACAAATAATTACTATCAATAAATTGTATTTAATTTGATTAAAGTTAATTTTCTGTTTACATATTTAACTTGTTTAAGCTTACCAAATATGTGTGATTTTCAATTCAACAATAAAGAAAATAACACTGACCAAAATGTTGATATTTTACTAATTCTCTTGTTTCAAAGCATTTCCAAGTAACTAAATCATAGATTTAAGTGCCGTTGGTCATTTCAACTATTACCTAATAGTTTTAGTGATTTATTGATGTTGTGTTGAATATATTTATTTGTTTATTGAATAGTAAAATGGATAAACCGAACGGTACCGGGTTTGAGTCCCAGAGTGAACATAAAATCTGAGATGCAGGTACATCCAGCTGACGAGTCCCAAATAGGACGAAACGCCTGTCCTGGATTCCATTGCTAACTACTATCTATTTTTGCTTATAATGCTTATGAATTAAGGCTATATCGAGGCAATAAGCATAGTATGCTAATAAGAGACTGATCAATAGCAGTTCTAAGCATCATGGGAAGATCCAAGTAAACAACAACATATGGTTACTAAGTTTGGCTTGTAATTACTACTTTACAAAATTGTTTATACGTAATAAAAACTATCCATTATGTTCATCTTACAAAAAATGTTATTTTACATGAAATATAAATAAATAACCTGTCAGTAAAATCATATTTCACATTGTAATCTACTAATTGATTAATAAAATTTTAGATGCTTGAATCATTTCATTTTGTTTTATTTTACTATATTTTGTACAGTGTACTGGAAATGAAATATTCGAAGAATCTACTTATATTGAAGTAAGCTTAGTAATATTTCATTATTTTATATTTGTAATTATGATGGATTTTGGTGAATTTAATATAAAATATGATTTTCAGACAAATATATTCTTAACCAAAATCACATCAGGAGTTTTCTTGATAATTACTGACATGAACAAGTAATCATACCATACAGTTAGTTATTTTTGATGAACTTTAATGAAGAATAAACGGGAAATTTTGTATGATGAAATGAATTCATTTCATTTTGTTCGCTCTAAATATTTCATTTAATGATTCATTAGGTATTGTTTGTTTGAATTTTCTCATTGATGTTTAGGACTACAACTGGTCAGGACTTAGTAGCTGAGTGGATAACGCGATGGCATTTGAAGCGAAAAGTACTGGGTTCGAGTCCCAGAGTGAACATCAACTCTGAGATGCAGGTACATTCAGTTGACGAGTCCTAAATAAGACGAAACGCGCGTCCTGTATTTCACTGCTAGCTACCATCCATCTTTGCTTATAATTTCATGTATAGACTGATGTATTAAATAAATAAAAAAATTTCACAAATATAGTTTGCTAATAACATATATAAATTAATTTAATTCATTGATAGAATTTAATTATAGATTGAACATATATGAATAAGGGAAGTATTTGTAAATATCTTCATGTTACACTTGTAAAATATTTTTTCCTTACAGAAATCAGTGAATATAAGAAAGATTTAGAGCAAATAAAATGAAATAAATTCACTCTATTCTCTCATCTGTTTGTGATATTCGCTTTACATATAATACTAATAATATACTATTGAGATAAGCTGAATTAACCTTAATTTAAAGAAACACTTCATCCATCTTCAATTACAACTATTAACATATACATACGCGTAAAATGTTAATCTAGTAAAGAATATAGTTTAGTCGAAGATAATTAGCAATTAAACATTTTCGATAGTCTGATAGTATTTTGTGTTGTAGTTGTGATCGAAAAATGAGGAAAGTCTTATTACTATTATTATTATTAAATAAATAAAGTTCACAGCTTATTTGTTTAGTGGTGATATCGTCAAATTCCAATAATGTTTTTTTAGCTTTTGACTAACATCATTGTTTAGTAATACCAAATGAACTGATTGGTGTAGTATAATATTAATGAATTTATGAATATGAACCTTGAATATGAAGTTCGTGGAAATCATTGTTCATTCAAAACGATTTTAAGTAAAAATTTTGGGGGTCAGGTGTAACTAATAAATGTAATCGTAAGGAAGGTTTGAACAACAATTATGGTATGTATGAAACAACTAACTAATTTAAACAGCCCCTAAAATCAGTGAAACCAACAAGGTTAGTTCTTAACGTTACATAGCAGTATGTAACATGATGTATGAGCATTTAAAGTTGGAATAGGTTGTTAGGCCGAGATATTGAATGACTTAAATCAAACAGTTCAAAACTTATTACATAATGAATAAAGTACTACGTGATCATTTAGAGATAAATATCATATGTCTTCTGAATACAAAGACCAGAGATTTTTCTGTGGATTCTTATTATTCCTGCTAAGTATATTTAAACTTTGTCATAAATTCACAACTTTGTTTAGTAATACAAAATATATTTTAGGTTATATTTCAAAGTTTTAATCAAAATGATTCCATCTGAATTAAATTATTTTACTTTATATGTTTCAAAGAAATGTTTCCACCACAATCATCACGTTGGTACTTAGATATTCCATATCCTTTAGCTTTCGCAACATAATCCGGAGTGTTTTTCTATTACTTTAACCTACAATATTAAACAGCTCATAACTGTCGAAGACTATTACTTATTGTAGTAAAAATATGAATACAAGAAAATGAAACCATAGAGATCTAACATTTTTCCTAAAAAGTACTGTTTTTTCTACACAACTGGTTTACACCTAAACAAACATTAAGGTCATATATGATAAGTAGTATATTTTACGCGTTTATCATATTTGCGTATATTGAACTTCCTAAAATAACATTCAGTATGCTGTTTGAAAAAAAGTTATGTTAATCTCCCCAATTACTATGTATGCAGTTGAATTCCCGTTCTGATATAAGCTAGATCACTATTGAAAATTTGAGGTCGCTGGATGGCTGAATCGTCTTAGTTTGGGACTTCCTAATAAAATGCATCCAAGATCTTGCGCGCGCGACTCGAACCCAGGGCTTTTGATTTCGAAAACGAACGCTTAAATATGGAAATACCACAAACTCCATTGACCTTATATTGATATATAAAAGTTATTCATAATGAAGATTATTCAGTACTATTTCAAGCTGAAAATCATAGAGGAGCATCAACAAAATTGTAGTGGATCAGTACAAATTCCTAATCTACATTAGAAATCGTTTCAAAAAAATTTACGTTTATTTTAGATTAAAGCTTAGTTTGATGTTTTCTTTTAGGTTTCTAGACGTTCTTAAACAGTGACAATCACAACAGTTGTCATTTATATAATCGAAAGTTGAAAATACGTGATCACTTGAGTGAAGAGAAAAAAACAACAACAAACTATTAAAAAGAAACTAATAATTGTTAGAGTTAATATCATCATCTTCACTAATTTAATTTCACCTGGTTTTCTTAACCAACTTTCTTACTATGTGGGTATAAATTATTTAGAATGGGTTTTTGTGGAGAAGTAGTATTTGCATAGTTGAAAGCATGAGCCAATTGAATCCAGACCACCAAGGAAAACCTGGAAGCACTGGACAGCCATTTCATCCTATTGTAGGACTCCTCAGCAGTGCGCATCCACGACCTCGCCTCGTGGGATTCAAACCCGGCGCGAGACTGGCAGGTCCTGGGTTCGAATCTCACGAGGCGAGTTCGTGGATGCGCACTGCTGAAGGGTCCTACAATACGACGAAACGGTCATCCAGTGCTTCCAGGTTTTCTTTGGTGGTCTTGCTTCGATTGACTTATGCCTTCAACTATATAAATTATTTACTCATTTTATCTTTTTGAAAGAAATTCATTATTGTAATGACGATAAAAAATGTATTGCATTTAAGAACAATAATTCAATTGTAACTGACATGTATCATTCACTTATTATTAAAAAAAATGTTCAAAACTATCATTTAATGTTACTTCCTACTGAATAACTCTTTAGATTATTTTTGTATTATCTTTATTATTATTATTCTTTTGTTAATATTTTCCTTTGTAGAATGATAGTTTTTTTAATGAAATAATGCAATCCGGTAAAACGTTTAAAGCAACATATTTAAATTCAGTAAGTTCTTCCCTTTTTATTCTGAAATTAGATTATTTATTACCCATGAAAATGCAATTTCATGTCTTTTTAAAAAACCTCGCGAGACGGGATCGTGGATGCGCATTTCTGAGGAGTCTAACAATAGGACGAAACAGCCATCCATTGTTTCCGGGTTTTCCATGGTGGTCTGGCTTCAGTTGACTGATGATCACAACTATAAAACATAAATGGTTTAATGTTTGGAACTTTGTTTACCTAAACAAAAGAAGATAATAAAAGCTTAAATAATGATTAAAAAAATAAAATAGTCAATGCAACTAGTATTATTATTTCACAGAACTCGAATACCATTATTAATTCTAAAAATTAAAACGTTACAAAATTGAATAATCACCTGAATTCTGATTATCAACTCTATATAATTATGATGAAGAATTATTTCTATCTGGACTTCAAAAAATGTTAATTCGTTTACTGACTTTTTCGCAGATTAAAAAGTTGTTGATTCGTACTTAGCATCAAAATTTATACAATTTGTTATTCACTTAGCAACTGAAACATACCAAATCTTAAAGAGAAACCAGTAATAAAATTGTACTATCAATATTTAGATACAATTAAAAAATAAATTATTCTATGACTAATTGTAATATACGTTTTAGTAATGTATATTTACCGTTAAAACTTACTAAATTCAATGTTCATTGAGTTATAACTAATTAGACTGTTAATTGTAAATGTAATAAATAACTGTAAGGATTTGTGTGTGAAAGCCGAAATTATACTAGAATACTGTTTTAAAAAGTCAGTAATGTAATTCATATTAAGAAAGTAGTTTGGTGAAGAACGTTTGAGACCAGTGAAATAATCATTCCCCGATCCAATAGTAAATTATCTTTATAATGTGAAAAAATTAGTAACTGCAACCTAAATACAGTGAAGATCAAACAAACCCTTATGATTTAGTATTCAAAAGTATGTTTATCCCACAAACTTTAATCTTTACCTTACTGCTATCTCGGTTAAAATTGATTTTTTTCAAAATTTTTTAAATTTCTGTTAAAATAAAATTTCAGAAATCAATCAAAACATTTAGTGTTTCACTCGATAGGTATTAGGAATGAATATACGGTGCATACTGTTTCTCTTATCAAAATATAATGTAAAGATCTGATACATATAGAATCACTATATCTTCAGTCTGTTAGTGTAATAAATTATTTTCAATGCATACCTTAATATTTTATTTGTTTCAATACTGGCATCAAATATATTTAAAATAGATATTTTCAGAGATCGAATTTCAATCCAACCTGAACATAATTTTACAGGATATGTATTTTTTCTTAATTTTTAGGAACAAGAAAATACTTTATTATCTATTTTATCAGTTCATAATACATACATGAATAATGAAAATTATATAACGAATCAAAATGCAAATATTCAAATCCATTCAGTTTTGTGCAGTCCAGTTTTTACTCGTTCTAGTGATAGCCCTATTGCAGTTGTTTGTTTAATCAATAAAAGAGATTCTCAGTAGGTCTCAACAATTATCTATAAATAGGAATGTATTTTTAGTTTTTTATTTAATAAAAATGAGTATACACTAAAGTAACCAGTATTATCTACTTAAGAGTAGATATTGATTACAATTTTGATTGAGAATACTCTGTCAAGTCACTGTAAAACGTCTTACAGATATCGACAGAAATACGATTGATAACTTACATTGGATCCGATGATATCGATAGCGATATATATTCCATACTTTGAATTTGTTTTGTGCTCAGAGAGATGTATGATTTATCCCTGGGTTGAGAAAGTGGCCATTTTCATGACTTCCGATTCTCTCATTAACCAAGTTATGCTTATTACTACTGGAAAACAAAATTACCGAAAAATCAATAATCCAGCAATCATCATATCTTTCAGCGAATAAATCTTGTTGTTAATGATGTCAGTATTTCCTGGATTTAATTTTTCCTCACATAATTTGATTTCAGTGAGTTTACTAAAAACAAGTGACAAATAATAGAACCTGGTGGGTCGGAATACATTACTTCAAAATATGGAGACTTTCGTAAAATCAAATCTAAAGCCTATTTCTAACCATAAATTTACACCCAGGTTTGGCATTCCAAAAGATGTTATTACAAACTTTAGTAACTTGGTTGTCAAGATAGTCTTCTTAGATTACAATTCATAAAACATTTATGAATCTAAAAAAACTGCATGACCACCAAAGTATTTTTGAACTAAGAGTTAGACTGTCTCATAGATCATTTCTATGGTCCAGAGATTTTGAGAATAAAATCCTAGTAAAAATTACTTAAGCAATCAGGTTACTTTTAGACTGAAAGACTTGTGGATATCGTTTAATGAGAACTAATTTTAACTACACTACCATTACAATGATCACGGAAAAACTGTTTTGTTCCGAGTGTTTCGTCTTTGTAACTGCACGATATGTTCAGTACATTGGAGAAGAACATTGAAAACCTTGTCCTTTGCATTGATCGTGTAGCTGGCATTCACCCCTGATGGGTTATAAGAAATTTGAATAAGGTATAAATCGGTCTACATAAAGGTACACACATCATATTCTGATAGAAGTAGTGGTTATTAGAACTAATCGAAGCAAGCATTTGTAAGTCTTAAAAACTATTTAGAGGTCCATTTTATTCTGAATACAGACATAGTTCTACAAAATTAACAAAATGTTCTAACTGCTCTCTTAACATATCAGTTATACTCTTGTGATGATTGATTTGCAGTAAGCTCAAGCTTCTTATTCAAGATAAAACATCTTTCAAACAGTATGTTATATTTCACATTCAGAGACTAGTTCTTTATCACGTATAAATGATAAAGTTTCTATTTACCTTTTTTATTTACACAAAGAAATTATTTAAAAAACACGTTATGCAAACAAAACTGTTGACAAATGTCATTCGGAAGTTACTTACCCTTATAATAGATAAATATATCAAATAAAACGTAGAATCACATTAGTTTCAGCAATAATTAGCTCATATTAACGAATTTAAAAAGAGATCAATCTATAAGTAAAAAGAACCATATATATTGAAGGATATATAATAGCTAAAGAAATTGACTTGTTACCCTATATCAGTATGTAGTATATAAAGTAAGTTTTATAAGTGTAGAATATAAAATGAAACCTAGGCATTAATAGATGAAATATGAATAGGTAATATGAGCTTTGAGAAGATTTATGTATATAATAAGTATATCAAATAGTTGATGATAATTATTTAAGACATAATAATACTGGGTTAAATCCAAAATGAAGTGTTTTAACGTATTCGAAGGAAGATCATTTTATAACAATTGAAATTGCCTCGATTGTCGTTTTTAAGTTTTGAAAGTATTTAGAATCCGAATTATACCATAACTGCAGTTATTCAATAGAGTAAGCTAAACAATTTTCTTAAAAGGGGAATTCTGTTGAAGCATGCTTTATTTCTTACACCCCTTATTCGTTTGCTAGTGATCTACTACTAGAAAACATGAAAAATACACTTAATAATGCTTTCTCTTCAATTTTGTTTTCTAGATTTACACAATCAGACGAACGTATTATCGAAGAATGTTTTCGTTTTGTTGCACCTATTCTTTTAAGCTCATTGGCATATCAAAACGAACGATATATAAGAGATAGAACTGAAGTAAGATCACCGTGGTTTAGTTCAAAAATAGTGAACCTTCTTTTTATTTTAAAGTTTATCAATAGCTGTATTAAAATATATTTGCTTAAAAGCAGTTTGCTTTAAAGGAGAACTCAGAGTGATAAAAATATTAGATGATTAAAAATTGTGATAAAAAAGGCAACCAATAAATGTTTGGGTGAAATAATTTTTCAAATGACTTCCGTCTTATTAGATAGAATGCATTCATTAAACCATAGAACATGGAATATTAGTTTCATAAAGTGAAAGTTATTCAGAGAATTGTCTCATAAGAATGTTTAACCTCAATTGTTTCCTTTTCACAACGATAATCCATAATATATATGTTGAAAAATATTAATTTCATGAGCACGGCAAGTGAGAACCAAGATAAATGAAAACAATTAAACGTTGGTGTGTTCGGAGACATTGAACATTGACTAAAAGTATCATAGAATTTAGATAACTATTAATTAAGACATTCGGTTGTGTAATATGATGAAATCAATCCTGAAATAATACATTATTAGAAATGATATTTGAAATAAAAATAACCTAGTGAATGGTAAAACACAATAAAAGGACGAATAAAGTGGATGATTTGGAAAACCGAAGCTTATATCTGTGGTAAAACAAGTGTTTTTTTGTTTGTTCATTCTTGTTTATCTCATTCATATTGATTCTTTACCATTTTAATGGTGAATCTGACTGCGTATATATATATATTTCTTCTAATGTGATTATTCCTAATCATGATCTCCATAAGTTTGTTTTTCAATCGTTGGCTTACATTTCAGGCTTATATTTTCGTACATGTTATATATATGTATGCATCTGTCACTTAATTAGTAATCCGTACTTCTTACTTATAATGCTCAGTTATGTAATCCTTTTTGACTGTTATCACTGACTTATAAATGGCTCTTATTAGTTTAATATTTTTTATATGTGGATATAAATATAAATGTATTTCAGAGTAAACGCTGATGAACACCCAACTATAAACAAACATATGTGTTGTTTGTATTATTACTTTGCGAACCTTAAATGCTTTATTATGTGTTTGTTATTTTTTTAAAAAAACATATATTATATTCAGCTGTCGAAAATGCAAACATATCAAACTTACTATAATACGACAACTCACATTTCTTTTGTACAACATTTTCGAATTACTGCAAACTGACAACTATAACGTATTGTAGACATATAACAGACTTAAAATACAGTTGAAACGCAGAGCTTCTTCGGTTTCTAGGTTGTCATTTATTAGAGAAGGGAAACAACGTGATAGATTAATTTATCACAAGTAATTATCTCTTATTATGAACTGAGGATTGATATACTTAATAATAGAAAAAAAAATGATGATCAGCTTAGAAAAGATTCCAAATTCACAAGAGTGAAAGTAAATTTGATATTGAATCAAATATCTTTAATGATTTCATAGTAATATATCAAGCTAAGGAATCTCTGAGAATAAGGTATACCGCAATTGAAGATAAGAAAACGCTGCATTGAAAGGGTAGTTCTAACTACAATTAATTCAACCAAGGTCACTTTTTTATTTATTCTATTTCTGTTAACGGGTAAACTAAAGAGTACAAATAACTAGCTGATCACCATTAATGGACTTCTACTTTTTAAAAAAGTACTGATTCTTTCAAATAACCAACAACTATTAACTTTATGATCTTAATATTTTCAGAATTTTGGTTTTTCTCATATTTTATTAAATGAAAAATGATTGATTTTAGGATATGCTTAAAGTTGCAAGGAATATTTTCACTCATATGATGGATTTAACAAATCTTCTATTGAAAATAATGCAAGAAGCTCAAAATTTAACCAAAGCTGAAAGGTTTGTTTATTTATTTAGTTGTTGATTATTCAATATTTAATTAGTGAATTAATCTTTAATTTCTTTTTCTATAATCATCTATATATATTTCAATTTTGTGGGGGGGGAGGAGGTGAAATTTATATGTGAATGGAATAATTTTAGTATAACTTTAATGTAGTAATATCAAATTTTATAGCTGAGAATTTTTTTTGGATATTGATCACTTCCTTGTATCTTCATGCTGTTTTTCCTGAATTATCGTGCATGATGAAATTAAGTTGTTTAGAAACTAAATATGGATGTAAAATTAGAGATTTAAAAAAAGAATTATCTATCTTTCAATTGATACTGACATTCATTTAAACTAGTATACTTTAATTATATGTATTATATTTGCTGGTTAGCGTTTTTTAGCGATTCGGTTTTCTACGGGATGGGGTCGCTAACCCCATGCCCAACCCTCCTCCTTTACCCGGGCTTGGGACCGGCAGTAGCCCCCGGAGGGGCTACAGGCGGAGTTACGTATTAAATTAATATTATAAAAATAAGTTGATTTCATAAAACCGTTTAGCGATAGATTAAAGTTGGTGATCTTTTTAAACTCATGATGCAAGAATGCAAACAGTTTATTCTGATAGATTGTATGTTCCGCATTCTAATAACTTCACTTCAGATTTCAGATAATAATTCAAGTTTTTGCAAACTTAAAAATTAAATTGTATCGAAAAATTTGTTTTAAACTTTTAAATAACTCATCTTATTGCTTAGTCAACATTTGTACCTGGCTAATACACTACTCTGTGACCTAAAACATTATCTACTTTGTATCGGATATCATATTCAAATGCTTTAATGTATGAGTTAAAATACTTTCAACAATAGTATTTGCTTTAAATGTTTTTTTCCACAAATTTTGGATGATGGTGAAACTACGAAACAAAGCCGAACAATTTAATTAGCCCTAGCTGAAAAGTATCATGAAAATTTCAGACAAATATTTATCAAATTTTGTTCACAGGTAAAATCACGAGTCGATCTCATCTAGACTACAAATAGAAACCTGGAACCACCGACTGTTTTATTCCATTATGAGTCTTCCCAGCAGTGCACATCCACTACCCTGCACTCTGGAATCAAACCCAGGATCGATATCGCGCGTGAACTCTTAATCTCAAGACCATTGAACCGACATCCAATGGTGTTGATGTCTAGCTTCATCAAATCTATGATATTGATCAAACTTTCATTAATGGCTTGAGATGGATAACTGTCTCACAACCAAAACGGATCGAACTCCACTGGTTATGGCTTCTCACCGAAACTCCAGGATTTACATTTTGAAGCTAGTCACTAATGAACGCGTGATGTGCACTTCTGAGGAGTCCAATACTAGGATGAAGTGGCTGTTCAGTGTTTCCAGGTTTTCAATTGTGATCTAGCTTAAGTAGTCTCACGATTTCAACCCTGAAAACACCACCACCTCCACAAATCCCCATATCGATAAAAATTTTATTCAGTATATCGGTTATTACTTCATTAGCTGAGAGGTTTTAGGAAACCTAGTGAGGTCTCAGAAGAATTAAGTACCCAAAACATTTTATCATTAAATCAATTTAAACTGATTATGATCACTTTAGCTGGAAGATGGTGCCGTCCATGATAAAGTCTAAGTAGTGAGGTCATTTCATTTATGCGATTCATCTACATTATTTACATTAACCGAATTATTGACAATGAACTAATATGTTACTACATGATTTGAATAATGTTTACCATGAAATATTTTAAAAATGATGTATTTATTTCAGTTGAACTATTTTTATTCATTTTACGAATCAGATGCTCAGTTTTCTTGCTTGATTCTGAAACTAATGTATTAGTTGCAAAAGTACTAGATGGATTACCAACAGCTCCTAATAAAAATGTAAGTCTCATATCTTATTATATTTAATTATGATCCGTTTTTTACAATATAAGACGACAATCACAATTTGAATAATTGTCAAATTATTGATTTTTTTTCTTTATGCTATTATTGTAACTAGTTCAAATTGTATAATTAATGCAACATAATTTTTCTCTTAAAAAAATCATCTAAATAACAATTATAAGCAAAGATGAATAGTGGCTAGCGGTGGAATCCAGGACGCGCGTTTCGACCTATTCGGTACTCGTCAGCCGGATGTACCTGCATCTTAGAGTTGATGTTTACTCTGGGACTCGAACCCAGCACCGTTCGCCTCAAATGTCATCGCGTTGTCTACTCAGCTACTGTGTCTTGTTAGCCACTGGCTTGTGCAATGTGATGAAGTTTAAATTCACTTGGTATTGTTTGTTTGAATATTCTCATTGATGTTTAGGACTGCAAATGATCATTCTCTTATTGGCATATGTGTATACTGTGCATATTGCTTCGAAATAGCTTTATAATTTATTTATAAGCAAAGATGGATAGTGGCTAGCAGTGGAAACCAGTAAAATTGTCTGAGGTAGATATCTTTAAAGACACATGTGATTCACGTTACATTTCTCTTCTTCATTCTAAAATCTTTCATCATTATTCTAAAATAAAAATCATAAGATTCAACATCAGTCTAATTATTATCAGTTTTCGAAATATAAAAAAATATTCTATCAAGATAACTCACAATAAACCGACTTACCCGCATATAACGTAATCACAATTTATTAGGTATGTTTCAATACTATTGAAACACAATTCAATTTTACTAATTTATGAACTCCTCGAAAGCAGTGGTTTTCAGTTGATAACATTTTGTTTACCGTCAATTAATTATGTGACATCACTAAAAAAGTATCCATTTTTATGTATTTGCAAAACAATCACCTACCATCAGATAGGTTGTACAGTTTGACGTTGCATAATTAGATGAAACTGTAACAATTGTCTTTCTGAAATGATATTTTTATTGCTTAACCTAAAATGTAGTTTTTTTTTCGATATTTGAGTTTTTATATCTGATAAATTACAATTCATTGTAATTCATTTGGTAAAAATTCCTGACTCATCATAAATTCTTTGCGAAAATTCCTAGAACCTATATTTCGATAACGTACACCTTTCTCATATCTAATTTATGGTAATGAAAATGATCATTTACATCAAACAATTTATATTTCGGATGAGGGAATAATACTACGAAAGTTGATCCGTCACATGGTTTATATTTGCTTAAAATCTCATGACATTTTCATTTCATTTTGTTCTTTTTGCTTCAAAATGTGAAATAGTTTGTATGAAGGTACTGTCATTTAAGTGGAAAATTTAAGTAGTTGATTGTATTGCAAACAATTTCAATGATATGAACATAGGTGTTCGAAACCAAATAAAATTTGTTAACTACTTGGTAAAAATAATTTCAGGAATGTGAAGCGATCTTAGTCAGTAATAAGACAACAAAAAGTGAATAATAATAATTAAATAAGAATATCTATTCTAGAATAACAAGGCATACTATTTTAAGTAGTTAGTAATATAAGATAAAATTACTGATAAATAGTTATGATAAACAAAATGTTTTGTTGTTGAAGAGAAAAATTAGGCGAATTGATTTTTAAGCATACAGTGGCTAGCGGTGAAATTCAGGACGTACGTTTCATTCTATTTGGGACTCGTCAGCTGGATGTACCTGAACCTCAGAATTGGTGTTCATCCTACGACTCACACTCAGAACTCCTCGCTTTAAACGCTATCATTGTATCCACTTAGCTCTTGAGTCTAGATAGCCATAGGCTTGGGTAAAGAGATAAATCTGGGTTTTAATTCATATGTATCGGTTATTTGGATCTCCCGATTGGTGTTTAGAACTACAAGTGATCAGTCTCTTTTGACAATACCGAGATAGTCCTCACAGGATGCACATACGCTGAAAGATACTGGTCAATTGCAGTCCAAAGTATCAATGAGAAGATCCAATCAACCAATATATATGAATTAAAATGAAATTGATTATTATGACAGTAATAATTATGATATATACATATATATGTCAATATTTAAGAAGTGAAGGATGAGCTAATCAAGAAAATTTCCCACTCATCTATGCAAACGTTAAGATAAGTAGAATTTATTTATTTTGTACACGATTATTAGATTAGAGATTGTTTATCCATAATCAACTTATCAATCTGAATAAACATATAGACTGTATGTTTACTATTGACTCTCAAGTAATCTTACTACAAGTGCAGTGTTCATTTCATATGATTTGATTATTTTAGATAGATTGTAATTTATAAGTAGCTATGATTCAGTGAACAAACAAAAAGTTTATTTTCTTTATGCTTTAATTATAAGAAAATACTCTGACTATCTTATATTCACTGTACCATCTGAAACTGTTCGAAAATAATAATAATAATAATAAACTAAATATAACTATTTAAAAGTCAAGAAGAAAACAATATTGTTTCGAAAAAAAATTAGTTGGCCATAAATTTAATAAAACTCATCATTGAAAACATATTTCTCAATTATATCTTGACAGAAAAATTCGTAAACAGAAAATTAATAATTTTAATAGTTGATATCATGAGTCCATTGAAGTTAGAACAGCATGAAAAACCTGGAAGCACTACATGTCCGTTTCGTCCTATCGTAGGACTCCTCAGCAGTGTGCATTCACGATCTAGCCTTGTGAGATTCGAACCCAGGACATATCAGTCTAGCGCACGAGCTCTTAACTTGTAGATCATTGAGTCAGCATCCAATTAATAGAAACTTAATACGTTATTTACCTTATCTTGGTAATTTTAATCAGAATGAACAACATGTAAGGTATCAAATAAAGACTTATTGCTTGTATATTACATCATAAAAGATTGTAGATAATAAATTTTGCCAACATAGTAATAATTTTTTAATACATTTCATGAATTCTCGTGTATGAGATTAAATGAAGCATATAAACATATAAAAGTATCTGAATATTGGAATTTATAACCATTATTGAAAAAACCAATCATAATCGACATGATATATATATATTGAATAAAAGAGTTCAGAGAGGACATATTACAGCCTAGAGTTTTATATGAAAAGATATATCAAAAACTATTTAGTTCATATTTGAAAACTTTTTTATTAAAATTTATTCGATGTCATGTAACTGACACAAAATTAAAATATAAATAAAATATAAGTTAACAAGCTTTTTATTCAATTCATCCGAATAATAACACTATACATTGTTTTTTAAATTACAATGATTGATTTCTTCACAGCTGATTTATTTTCTAACATTGTATTCTACAATCCATACAATTAGATTACATGAGAACTTTAGAAGATATCATTAATAAATAATATACTTCCTGTTATATGTCTAATATACAAACATTACATTTTCGGTAAACTGGATCAGTTTTTTTTCCAAGTTATAATCTAGATAAGTCTTAATATCCATGATAATCACTATATTTTTGTCTATCACTTCTAAAATAAGCCACTGTGTTTATATATGTATGCATAATATAGTTCAGAAAGGTTTTGTTACATACCTCTATATCGATGTAAGTAACGGTTTAAATTCATACAGTTGACTACTATAGTACTTAAGACACTAAAACAATCATTTAAATCATAGGTATCATTACCAAGTTTTGATTTGATAATTTTGAATAAATTGAGCATTGAGTAAATTGTTATAAATAAATTATATATTTGTAATATCCCAATGAGTAGAAAAATCAGATTTTCTGACGTTTCGTTACTCAGTGTAAGCCACCTCTTCAGATAATAAATAACCAAATTAACATTAATCCAGGTTTAAATATTCTGTGATAAGGAGTTTTTATCATATCATCAATGTACGAAAATAGTTTCCTATATTTTGATGTCTGGAGGAAATCGAATTCATTATAGTTCAAAAAATTAATAAAATACAAAAATTAGTACGAGGGTTAATTATTTTACCATTTGTTGATATGAAAATGTCTTTTAAGCACTGAGTTATTCTAAATAAATATTTATTACCTTTTCTATACTATTTAACAGACACGTTTTACTACGACAGATGGCAAAATTGTTACAGTAAGTGTTAATTTGATATATATATATATATATATGAATACATTCCTTTAATGAACAACGCTTTCTAGAAATTTGACATGATATTTACTAGGGTGTTTTATTAACATTACAAACTAAAAGCAAGATATCGATTAGCGATTTATGCATTATTCAAATGGTCTCTAAAGTAACACTTGGGCAATTTCTGTTCATATTATGTCTACTGTTTGTAAATCTAATAAGAAATCACTGTTGAGGCAATATACCATCCAAAGTTATAATAGTGATATATATTGGATTATAGAATAAACCAAAAAGTTATGACGAATCCACACTTTTCTGTTATTTTCAAAGCCTTATCACCTTTTATTCAAACTATTCTTTATGGTGGAGAGACAACAATAATAACGGCTAAATTAAGATAAATTTGGTAAAATTACGATTCAGAAATTGTTTTTTTTCCAAATACATTGACTGGCAGTGGATAGTAACTAATTATTATTCAGTGAAATGTTGAGGTCAATTTTCACACTCTTAGTCTCAAATTCGTACGTTCATTATCTTTGTATTTAACTCAGAATGTTTATGGCTGCAATTCACTAGTTATGAAATATCGTCAAGTGGTGAACCCAACTCGCACATAGTAAAATTTCATTTCAATACTTTCTGATCAACTAACATTCTTACCATTTATGTTTTGACTTTGTTTTGATGCAATTTTTAGGATTGCTATTTAAAAAGTGTAGTTCAGTCACATTTTGGGAGTATTCCTCTTGTCTATCAGTTACATCATTTAGTTAAGTCTACTATCTTAAAAAAACTGTACTAACGAGTGAATACTTTAAAACGGAGCACAATTTTTGAACGATTTTAACATAAAATTTATCAAACTGCTAATATAAAGATACTTGAAATTAATGAAACACTAAGCACTAGATTGATAAATAATCTTCTATTTTATAGTGTGATTCCTATTTATTATTTTAAATTTTAACCGATGTGAATTTTTCCAATGTCATCTTTGTTTTACGCAATTACAAATTTTGTGTTTTATAGTTACCAGAAGAAATTCGACTAAGTTTAAATCAAGGCATCGCTGGATACGTAGCTACAACCGGTAAATGGTTGTCTTTTTATCTATTTTTATATACATATATTCATTTTTATTGTCAGAAGCTTTAATCTACATATTACTTAGCTAATATTAAGTATTTAAATAAGAGTCAAATAAAATGAAACTGAATACGTCAAATTGCACTAAGTGAAATATAAATAACTTGTTAACAACAAACATTTTTTGTTACACCCCAATGGATAGAAAAATTGTATTTCTGACATTTCGTGACTTTTAATTGTACCAAAAGTATTCTGCATTATTTACTTTGTATTATTTAAACTTGTGGTAACCTACTTCGGCTATTTATTTATTTTGAAGAAGTGACTTACATTAAGTCACAAAACATCAGAAATACAATTTTTCTAGTCATTGGGATATAATACATATATATATATATATTACTAGCTTCCTACCAAATGCTCAATTTATTTGAAACTATCAAGTCGAACCTCAGCATTGATACCCATAAATAAGTTGTATTTAAGTTATTAATTGTACTGAATGAAAACCCTTTCATCTTTCCTGTAAAAATCGAGACAAATAAATTTCTTTCTATACGAATATTAAAAATACAAATTCACTTGTTGTTTACGTCTTCAATTTATATTGCACGTTACACCAAATACGTTCGTATAAATTTAAGAAAAGAATTAATAAGATTGGTCATTTGATGCATGAAAGTTAAACTGAATATCCATAAGATGGATTCTTTATGATACAATTTATAGTTTTCATTATTATAATAAAAGATAGAAATTGATTCCGGACATATTGGGATTTCATAAATGTCAGTTATTCAAACAATAAACAGATGTCTAATTAATTTAATTAAAGAATTTGGTCAAGTGGTATCAGAATTTTCATGCTAATTATATAGCATGTATGTTACAAAATATAATAGGGATTTACCATACAAATATATTTGCTTGTATTGATGAGATTATTGATAGGTAATATACTACTTATTTGCAATTTTATGGAGAGCTTAATCAGAATAGCTGATACTCGGGATATATTGTTGAGTTTTGATAGAAAAGTGAATAATAATGTGAAAATTGTTAATGAACAGATAGATTTCTTTATTTCTAAAATGTATACATTCATGTGTCAATTTATCCGTAAGTATCGCACTATATTTATTTTCATCTTGAATTTTTAGGTGAATTATTAAATATAAAAGATGCCTATGCTCATCCACTTTTTTATCGTGGTGTTGATAAAGAAACTGGATTTCGTACAAGGTCAGTTAATAGGATTATTTTATTCATTTCTTTAGTTTCGCTCTGCCATAGGACGAAACGGCCGTCCAGTGCTTCCGGGTTTTCCTTGGTGGTCTAGCTTCAATTGACTCATGCTTTCAACTATGAAAATACTGAAATCTCTAAAAAAAACCCTTCTAATTAAACATTCGTTCATTCGATCGTTATCTATCTCTCCAACACAAAAGGTTATGCTTATTACGGTAACTAAAGGTAGATACTCATTGAACAAATCCAAGTGTCTTAAATTTGGCTATAAGCTTTCTGCAATATAATATCTCAAATATCAGATCAACTTCAATGATTTATTTCGATCATTTTTCTTGAAAATTAAAGAAAATGCTTTGAGGAAATGTGTTTTAACCTTTGTTAAAATCATGTTTCTAACGATTGATATTTATTTAAACACTTAAAAAGCATAATATTTATTGACTTGGTTGATAAGCTGATATGAATCAGTCATGTGATAAATAATTATCTTTCCATACAATCATTCATTCACTTCATTCAACTCTGCTAATCTTATCTTTAGAATCATACGGTAGTCAAAGTGAATGTCATTAAAATGAATTTTATTTTTGTTGTTCACAAAACAAAATAATCTACCGATTATAAAATTCAATTACTTGCCTCAAGTATTCAGAGTTTCGTTGGAATGACATATACAAAAATAATTTTTGTTAAAAATACGAAATAAAACACATACTACTAAAATGAAAATTGTTGTTTGAGTAGTAAGAAACTGATAAATAAAATACTTTATTCATTTAGTATTATTCTTGAAAGCATTCCAATTATTATCTTAGGAATACATTAATTTTAATGACATTGTTAGAAAATCAACTTCTAGTATAAGTGAAAGTTAAATAACTTTTTTTCTCTGAATGTGAAGAAATATTGTTAAAGATAATATTATGTAACAAGTCATTTTCTCAGAAGGTGGTTTCGTGGAGATATTTGTAATTTTATAGATAGGATCATGAGTCAAATGAAGCTAGACCACCATGGAAAACATGGAAGCACTGCACGGCCATTTCGTCCCATTATGAGACTCCTCAGCAGTGCGAATCCACGATCCCGCCTCATGAGATTCGAATCAAGGACCTACCAGTCTCGCGCCGGAGCACTTAACCGATAGACCACTGAGCCGGCATCCAACGGTGTTAATGTCTAACCTCAACTAATCCACGAAATCGCGACAATCTTCAATTGGACTAAGGTAGATACTTATCTCAACCTGACATAGATTAGCTCCACTGGTCGCAACTTCTCACTATAACTCCGGGAATTACCTCATGGAGCCAGTCACTAGTGAGCATTGTAATTGTAATCATTTTAATCATTTGTAATTTTATAGATTTTATAGGTTAGACATTAACACCGTTGGATGCCAGCTCAGTGGTCTATCGGTTAAGTGCTCTGGTGCGAGAGTGGTAGGTCCTGGGTTCGAAACGGCCGTCCAGTGCTTCCAGGTTTTCCATTATGGTCTAGCTTCAATTGACTCATGATCTCATCTATAAAAATCTTTTTTCATTAATATATTTAAGAGAAAATCATATAGTTTTCAAAACTATATTATACGCTTAAATTTAAATGTCATGATTTGACTCAAGTATTTGATGAAACTATTGCAATCCATATTAAAATGATTTTATAACTGAATATTTTAAAATTTTCTGTCTACAAAGTAAATCAACATAGGAAGAAATCATATCAAAATAAGAATGACGGAACTTTTGAGTTACATTATTTTTACCAATATTTACAGAAGATCATTTTAAGTACATCCCATAATAATTATTATTATTGTTATACCTCACTATCCTAACAACTTTATTTTATCTAGGAATATATTATGTTTTCCAATAAAAAATGAAAAGGATGGTATAGTTGGTGTTGCACAATTATGCAATAAAATCAATCACCCTTTTTTCACAAGAGCTGATGAAGATGTAGCTAAAACATTTTCAATTTACTGCTGCATAAGTATAGTACATGTGAGTATTGAATAAATTTAGAAAAATGAATAAAAATACATCCATCTATAGACAATTATTTAAATGTAGAACGTGTTTATGAGGATTATTGTATAATAATAAGATTCACTTATAAGATTGATTAATTCTGTTTTATGTAGTGAAAAATTTGGTATATTTTATCGCTATTGAATACATATTACAGTTAAATGGATCAAATAAGGATAGCCAGTAACTTCAGCATTACATTTTTCAATTATTTTTTGGAATATAAGTATCAAGCTGCGCTTGAATTTTAATACCATAAAATTGAACTAAAACAGAAAATACCAGTGAATTACTATTTACCTAATCACTGAAGCTTTTATGCATTGGTATTAAAGTTGAATTAGCGATATTAAGCCAAATAATGAATCTAATAGTGAAATTCCATTTCTCATAATGTTGTTCCCTCTAACCAGTAAGAATATTGGCAAACATGCAATTAGCCAATTTTATTAAACTGAACATAAAGTTTCAGATAGTCTGTTTTAGAATGAGATTGTCTTCATGTGATGTTTTAAAGATTTTTTAAGTTTGTTTTAAGTTACTAGACTGATAGATTGACTGAAATTCTTAATGGCTGTAACTCATAAAAGATTTTTGGGGATTAAATGTATCCACAGTGGGATTAGATTTATAATATTTGATCCTTATGAGTTGTCATAACCTTTATTCAGATAATAAATTCACAACATTAATATAAATTGTAACGAAAAAATGCTAAATTTCGCATGCAGAGGAAAGGTAATTAAATAATTACGATAATTAACATGTAAGACGTGAGTTTGAATAAATTCCTACCTCTTACAACCAGTAAAATTTGCGGATCTCATCTGCATTCAAAAAACGATTAATTCAATTTATTGCAAACAACTGTTGAACTTTCAGGGTAAAGTTAACCAATTTTATGTTGCTTACTTGTTGATAGCAGACATTCTGTATAATCAAGACAAGTTGATTTTCGTAAAACATTTATAGATGATGCTGAAGCTAATAGCTAACAAGTGTTGGAAAATGAAAGTTTTTTTTGAAAAAGGAAACGGAACTTTGTACTAGTAAACAATCACTACTAAATTTTACTAAAAATTCTCTTATTTGTGAGAAGCAAACGACTAAGCTGTTTCTTTTAGGCAGTATCGAGATCAAACATACTTGTCACATCAATAGAGATATGACATAAAGACATTGGTTTAAAGAGAGAAACAAAAATCAGTGTAAAACTAAATACTAAGATAATGAAGACTTTACTTCATGACATTTACTTCTGTGAACTATTTTTTGATTGCTTTTCAGTCCTTAATGTACAAAAATGTTCAAGATGCACAACACCGTACTAAATTGGCCAATGAACTTATGATGTACCATATGAAGGTAAGCGTAAAATTGTGCGATGTATTTATCTTAAAAATATTTTCTACAAAATTTACAGAGCATTTAAAGTGAATAATAGGATTATCCTTCATTAATTTGTTATCAATGCAACAGATTAAGGTACTGAAACTTCAGTTAACCTGTAATGATAACTGAATGATATTATTTAGATGGCCAATTGATTAAGCAGATAAGATGAATACATGTAATATAGTTTAATTGACCTGGTTTACTGAGAATTCAGGTTTTATATTTATCAATATTATTTTTAAAGTGATTCCGACCGCCATAATTTAGATTAGGAAATACGTTCGAAACCCATTTTCCATCAGTGCTAATACGGTAATAAAGTTAAAAGTTTTCCTGAATCAAGTACATAACTAAGTATTAAAATGAAAATTGAATGTCTAAACTGTACAAAGAAGTAAATACTGAGTTCACTGTATAGGTATAAAATCGGTACTTCATTTTGTGTTGTTGTAATATTTAAACAATGTATCATATGAGAGTTTGGATAGAGTTGATGCTCTTGCCAGTTTGATATAACAAAAACAAAAAATCCTAAAAATTAAATGCATTAATTGTTTCAACCTTTGCTGTTGAGTCTAAACGCGAACCAAATGCTCGTCTGAAATTAAAGCATGTAATATAACAAAATAAGCACAAGTCAGTTAAAAGAGGAATTGATCTTTTATTAAATGAGAAAGTTTCCAGTATTCAGAGATGAGAATCATCCGAAAACTTTTTTTCAAAAGTCGGACAAAATAACTGAGTAAATATACTTTTTGGTACATAACACCTAATGGACATCATATAACTTCTACCTTGGATTGTATTCGAAATTTACAGTGAGTAGTCTTGGTGACAAAAGTAATCATATACTCATATGCTAAAAAGTTAGCACAAGAGCATTTAAATTCACAAAGTAATGTGAATGCAAATGTCACGCCCTAAGAAAGGAAGTTAAAATTGTATCTAAGTCAATTTCTATATATTTGAATAACGTGTTGCCTGTTTGATCAGACTAAGTCAGTTGACAGTATCAGAAATGTAGTTCAAACAGGTCATACAATATCTTGATGAAAATATCTTGGTTTACATTTTAAACCATCTGTTCCATTTCAAAATGATTGAAATAATCAAATTACAATACGGTGTTTTCAAGTTGCTATTCAAAAAATCTCTCCCCACAACTTCATTATACCTTAATAACATACCGTTTGAATGAATCAACTCATAGATCTAAGTAATAAATTTCAGCAAAATAAAAAAGCAATCGCTTATGGAGTCAAGCTAGTTTTTATCCCCTCCCAACCTTTTTTTAAAGTTGTTCCATTTCAGTTAATTGAGAAAAAACATGAAATTGTCGTCGAAATTTGGAAGGCTATTGTAATAGGAACAATGACAAGTGTATAGATTGAATTAATTTAAAATACACTATTTCATTTTACATCTATGGTCATACACTAATTACTTGTCTATAACTCCGGATAGATATTGTTTTTATTCTATCTGTTTTGTATGGAATAGCGTTATTCTCAATCTGTTACATTCAGTTGTAAAAGCTGTATGTGTACAATTTCCTAAAATAATGTATAGTTTTCATTAAAGAATTTAGAACAACGTTCTTTACTTCCTAGAATTTAATATATCAGTAAAATTTATTTATCTTTCAAAGCGGTTTTAATTAACTTGAATCTTCAATAAACGGTGACAAAAAGTTTTTAAAAAAACTCTGTCTCTTGACAAATATATGTCATTCTAGTAGTTCGTATATAATTTCACACTATACAAGTCGTTACTATAAGCCTCATCTTTTATATAGTGCACAGTGATATGAAGCATGATTGTATTTTCTTATTTGGTTAGGTGGATGAAGACAAAAAGAATTGGTTAACCACCTGTGAAATTAAAGATATCAATACATTTCTACCTAATGCAAGTTCTTTTGAATCTTTACCAAGAAATATTCAACCTGAAAATGAAACATATCTCGTAAGTGATTTAAATTCCAAAAAATATAGCAGATTGGTGTTGATTGCAATGTTGATAGTTATACAAGAAGTATAGTAACAATTATCTTTTTTCCAAATGGAAATTTAAACCTAAAATTACGTAGAAAATCTATTGGACCGCTGTATTCTGTAATGAAAGATTGTGACCACTCGACTATGAAACTCTCTTTAATATCTCAGCAATTTCAAGTGTTCATATATTCATTATCATTGTTTACTAAATATTCATGTTATGTAGTGTCTATATTTTCATAACTAGTTTCCAACAGTATGATGTAAATTATTCATATTGTCTTCAGTAACATATATAAGTTTCTGCCTATATATATCATTTGTAAAAGTAACTGAAAAATACGCTTCGATACTTCCACCCCATTCGTTACAATTCATCGCCATCGTGTTTTCATCAAAATTTATTGTGGTTGTTATTTTCCTACTGCTGATATAAAGAACTCCACATGATCCATATTATTGCTTGAGTAGATTCCATAATATTGCCTTAGGCTGCAAAATAATCAGACTATAATATATTCTTCACTAAACATGATAAATAAATCAGTCTCCATTGAATAATCTAGTACTATGCTGGAATCATAGTGTAAATATTAATACAAGGATCTAAATACATCAGGCTGAAGAGTTTCGGAAAGGGACGAAACGTACTGTCTGCATTCTACTGTTATATACAGGCTGAATTAAAATATTCGTTTCATTTGTTCTGTTTATTTTTTGACGGCAATCAAGTCAAATTTACTACATTCATAAATTATAATGAAGATACTTGTAAATAATATGGTTTTCAAGTTTATTTACGCCCCTATGATTAAAATAAACTGGTGAGACTATAATTCATGGATGACCTTTGAGTGAGGCTAAACTGACCTTGAAACTGTCCGTCTAATAACTAGGACCAAATGAGGGTTATAAACCAGTGTAACGAACTAGAATTATGATTTACAGTTGATGGTTAACGTTAGGAATTACACTTAGGGTTTTCATCTTGAACTAACATCAGCTATTATGTCAAAAATCTGTTTAGCGAAATGGTTGATTGAATTTCGCTTCAAAATCTAAGACTTGTTATCTTATATCTGATTGGTTCGTCTATAAATCATAGTCTCGTCAATCAACTTTGATCAGAATAGAGGTTCACATCTGAGTTATTTATCTTAAAATCTTTCATCATATACTTGTTGCAAATGTTGCTAACTCCGTAAAATTCGACTGAAAAATTATAACAAATATAAATGATTCGTTAAAGATTAGAAATCACGCAAAAAAAAAGAAAATTTAGACAAACTTTATTTCAAGTTGTTCTTGAAAATGAAGTGAAATGTTTCAAGTACATACATTTTGAAGAACATTCCTCTCAGTGATATTCATTTAATTCTTTTTTTATTACTAATATAAACAGTTAAAACCAGATTGCTAGAAGAGGTAAATTTCATATTTCAGAAATTTAAAGTCGTGTTCTCAACTTAAGTGAACTGAGTAAACAAATCCTTAATTTGTGTAGAGATTTTCGCTGTTGAAAAATCAATGATTTACAGTGGTGTATAAATGTACAAAGTAACAAGAAATATTGATAATTTTCTCCAATTATGTTCCTGTTCTGGCATGGACACTGAACTTGGTGAAGATAATTATATTGTTTGTTGTTCTCCTCTAACGATGTTGTGATTTAAGTTTAACGTAAAAGTTTGATGGTTAAAGCATCATACCAATCTCCTCAATCAACCTTCCAGTAATTTCAAAAAACTGAGATAGTTTACTTACCTCAGTCTATATATTCCAGTGTTTTAGTATTTATGTTAACTGTTTACTTCAAAATAAAGACATTTACGTTTTTATTTGTTTCAAATAATATTTGTAGCTTACTTAATTCAAGAATGACGTTTTGATAACTTTACATTCCACTTTTTCTCAAACCCTTTAATTCACCAAACGTCCTTAATGTCTCCTTTGACAAATACTTTCGATTAAACTCAGTAACTTGACGTTTTTTCAGATAGACATCATGAAAACGTACTTATCAATTTATTATTACTAATTTTGTCATCACAGTTTTACATCAAACCATGTTATTAAAACGACTTTTCGATAACATTTTATATCAGCATTGTTTCGTATCTTAAACTTATAATAAGCAATTTTAATCAAATTAGATCCATCAGACTGGTAAATAACAATCAACAGATGTGAGTTATTTGAATCCTATTGAGATTTATTCGCTTTGCTAGACTACTGTAGTTATCCAGGCGGACCTATAGACATAGTCCTTAAATTTCAATCATTGATGAGTTCAGGATAAAACATCGAATCAGTGAAGCTGTACCTCAAAGTTTTCATTCAACTAACATTCTTTATCAAAGTTGAAATCATTAATCAATTGAAGCTAGACCACCATGGAAAACATGGAAGCACTGGACGGCCGTTTCGTCCTACTATGAGACTCCTCAGCAGTGCGCATCCACGAACCCACCCTCGCGGGATTCGAACCCAGGACCTACCAGATTCTAGCCGAAACCCTTAACCAATAGACCACTGAACTGGCGTCCAATGGTGTTAATGTCTAACTTCAACTAATCCACGAAGTTGAGCAACCATTCACCAATTGTCTTCAGTGAGTTCCTATCTCACAACGGACGTGGTTGAACTCTACTGGTCACTGCTTCCCACTTTAACTCCAGGACATGTATCTTGAAGTCAGTCACTAGTGAGCATATGATTATATTAGAAGGGGATTTGTGGAGATTTCAGTATTTTTCAAAGTTGAAATCATGAGTCAATTGAAGCTAAACCACCATCGAAAACCTGGAAGCACTGGACGGCCCTTTAGGGTCTTCGGCTCGAAACTGGTAGGTCCTGGGTTCGAATCCCGCGAGAGTGGGTTCGTAGATGCTGAGGAGTGGATGCTGCTGAGGAGTCCCATAGTAGGACGAAACGGCCGTCCAGTGCTTCCAGGTTTTCGATGGTGGTCTAGCTTCAATTGACTCATGATTTCAACTTTAAAAATACTGAAATCTCCACAAATCCCCTTCTAATAACATTTTTTATGTTTAATTTTACAGCAAAGATTTTAACAAAATTCTTCCTATGAAATGCATCTACGAATAAGCTTTAAAGTTTTAAGCAAGAAAGCCATCGAAATAAATCGAAGCATGTGTACATCATCTGTATTTGTTTATATTTAACATCAGATGAGGGGAATAAATGGATCAAACGGTTATTGAGCAATACCATAATTTAAAATGAAAATAAGCTGGTCTCTTTATTGATTCACTTAATGCTGATTGTTACTAGCTTATAGAATTATTGTTGAAAACATTTTCGTTTACCAGAGGTCAGCTCAACTGAGAAACTTAAAAAAATTTCATGTGTTTTGTTTTCTCAATTATTCGTAGTGTACATTAAGCATGTTTCATAATTTGGATTTAATTAATCGTTGGCGTATTTCACGGAGAACACTGGCTCAATTCATTTTGATGGTTCGTCGTGGTTATCGTACTCCAGCTTATCATAATTGGATGCATGCATTTTCTGTTGCACACTTTGTTTATGTCTGTATTAAAAACTTACCATTAGCCAATAATCAGTTGGATGATATTGAAATATTGGCATTATTTGTAGCATCATTATGTCATGATATTGACCATCGTGGAACGAACAACAGTTTTCAGGTAATTAAATGCGATTAATTATTGTTTTTATTTTTAGACTATAACTAAAAATGACTATTGTTTTTATCAGCAAATTCAAGAAAGTCAATTTGTTTTTGATACTGAATTTATGAATACAATAATATTTAAAACAAGTTTATTTCTTATCAGCTAATAAACCCTCTTACGATTCTGTATTCCTTATTTTCTACCGATCTCAAACTTTTGACAAACATTTATACAATAAACTAAATTCAAAAATCTGTGAAGGATATTTCTATCAGTAATCACTCTCCCCTATTACTGAACAGCAAATGATACTGATAAATGAATTATAATAATCTCAAATAAACCAAATAATTACTTAAATCGTTTTTAAAGTTGACGTGATTTACATTGAAGTTACAGACTGAAATCTTTGAAATCCACATTCATTCAAACCAACTTTTTAGCTTCATAACAGACAATTTTAATGAAATATTAAACTACATAAAACAAACGTACAAATGAAAATATGAATGTATATTATTCAGTTATTTCTGCGACATTTTATTAGCCTGATCAGCTTACTGAAGAGGTGAATATGTAATTAAACAAATAAATCTTTAACTACACTTCTTATCATATTTTATATCCATCAACAAGTAAATTTAGAATAAAAACTGTTAGTTTCATCGTAAGCATCTTCAAAATATATTGAAGAATGTATAATTATTTGAAGCATTTTATAGCAAGTGCTAAATTGTTTCTGATGAAGTTGAATAGTCAGAAAATAGTATAGTGATTGTCTTGAGGTGTATGCTACTGATGTCGATAGATATAAGTAGCATGTTTCATCAATCGAAAGTGAAATGCCTGGTGACAGAAGGTTAAGAACATTGAAGAACAGTGAACGAAAACAGAGAATGATTGCTGAAGAAACAAAGGAACAGTGAAGTCTGATACGAATGATTGACATTTTGAAAATGAATTATTTAATATATGTTTCTCAAATTCTACTATGACGTTCTGTAATTTTGTACTCAATTACATTCGCTTGTCCCCACTGATGTTCCCGCTCACTACGTTTGGTGTCGCTGTCAACCAAAAAGGGGGAAAGGTTCTGTTCTGCAGACGCCTTTGCGGACTTGGAGCTGAGGCGACAGTTAGGGTTGGCCGGTGTTGGAAGGTGATGTCAAGTGGACTGTTCTTGAGAGGTGACGTCGGCTGTAGCGGTGCTGTCGACGGAGAAAGCAGTGAAACTTGCGATTGCTGGGCGGATATCGGATATAGATGGCTCGGAATTTTGCTGGAGCGCAGGCATCAAACGTCCCAGGTGGACACCGGATTTTTATTGCCCGGCAGGTCGATTGTGTCCTACTTGTGTTCTCGTTCACTACAGTATGATGTTCAGTTGGTTATTTAAATGTTTAAAACAGTAATAATAAAATCCAAATATATTTCTCAGCTATACTGAATCGGATTACAAAGTGTTTTTTGGGTGTTAGTGTTTATTTAAAGCAAAATTGTCTAGCCGAATTAACTTTCATTTATGTGCAAAACACAGCATTTTAGTGAAGTGAATTTATTAGGTTCCGTTGAGCACACTTGTAATATGTTCAGTAAACATTTTATTATTGTAAGGAACATATTTATCAAGCCAACAAACCAATTCTATGTTCACGGAAAAGGGTTTGTGATAAACGTAAGCTTTCTATAGCAAGAGGAAACTTAATGGATGACTCAATTAGTTTAATATAATCATTGACTCCCAAATTGCCCTAATTGACATATATACTTCTTATATATATGTATATAAATATCAATGGATATTAAGACAAAAACTGACGAAGATTACGTAGTTAACAAAATTATATGTTTGGACATTTTGTCGTTGAAACTTATGTTAATGGTATTTCGTTGAATTCTGAAGTGGTCGGATAATTTTATCTTCTTATATACAAGCTATAACTTAATGACATTTTTTGGAACTATAGATTTACGATTATAGACAGACAGAAGTGGAGTTTCTTCAAGTTCTTTGTTCTATCCACATAGTTTGTGATGAATAACATGTTGTGTTTCAATTTTATTTTCAAAAATTCACTTTATTAATGTAAAACCTGTGAATACTCGAATATGTCATACTTTCGGCTTCAATATTATTGTAGTTTTGTAAGGATAAAGGCATTATCCATTTAGGTTGGAACAATTCGTTTTTTGATTTGCAAATTGTATCCATAAACGATTTATGCTAATTATTTAAAAATTTATTTAAAAACGAACTATTAATCAATATGGAAAACTTGAAGTAATCTTGTTGATCTACTTTTTATGTAAATATAAGTCTTCATCTACTGTCTTTTCCTTTAGTCTCTTTCTATAGAGTCATATTAGTTCATCCAGTTCAAATAATTTATCAACATACAAAAGCATGTTTGACTAGGTTACTATCTATGATGCTTTCTTGTTTCTATTGTATTACAGGTTCAATCCGAATCTGTATTGGCTGCTTTATATAGTTCCGAAGGTTCCGTTTTAGAAAGGCATCATTTCTCCCAGACCATTTGTGTGCTAAACACAGAGGGATGTAATATTTTTGAAAATGTTTCTAAAGAAGTAAGTCAATATTGTATTTTTCATAATCACGTTAACTGTGACTGTCAGAAATTGTTATCAGTCGTATTTTTTTACATTCATAACTCAATAGTGTAGTACTAATGAAACCATATCTTAAATTTCCACGAAAAATGGTTATTTACGGGTCGATCCACCAACAACGAATTATTCTGTTCACACATTGCTCAGACCTGAGTACACAATGGAGGACCATCAACTATCGGATTACGTGCAGTTGGTTTTAAGAGATGGACTATGCTAGATTTGAATATATTTAATGTGTTCTTACTGAATTGAGTACAGATACAACACACTAACATGATCATTTACCTTTTTTAAGTATAAACATTTCACTTACCGTAAAATCTATATATGAATACTCGAAGTTTAAATAACTTGAAACATAAATTAAACTTATGATTATCCCTAACTTAATCCTCAATAAATCTGCCTAAGTATATTATTATGTAGATAATTACTTTATTAAATTCTAGCGATTACTTAAATATGTTGTTAACTTAAGCAGAACTGGTCGAATCGCGTGAAACTCAAAACTCTTTCCCGCATTATTATTTCTTTTAATTTTAGAGCGGAGGGAAACAAATGTCCTAATTAACATGAATATCGTTATTTAATGAAATAATTACGAAATTACACCAATATTAAAGTAATTTTCAATCATTAGCAGATTAGCTGTGCATTAAATCGTAGTATTTAATTAGGTTTATTCTCAATATATTATATACGGTATACCGTCTTACTTACTTACTTACGCCTGTTACTCCCAATGGAGCATAGGCTGCCGACTAGCATTCTTCAACCCACTCTGTCCTGGGCCTTCCTTTCTAGTTCTATCCTACTTTTGTTCATTCTTCTCATGTCTGTCTCCATTTCTCGGCGTAATGTGTTCGTTAGTCTTCCTCTTCTCCTTTAGCCTTGAGAATTCCATATGATGGCTTGTCCTGTGAAGCAGTTGGGTGCTTTCCTCAATGTTTGTCCTATCTGTATACCGTCTTACTATTAACTTAAATAATACATTATCAGTTTGGTTTGTTCACTAGAATAAGCATTTCAATATTTTGTAATCAACCTTATTATAATATGTTAAATGTTTTGTCTTCATACAAACAATGCATACCATAACAATATATATAAGCAGTGTATATACTTATTTTGACTAGTAATTATATCCTGGTTTAACATTTAAGCCTGATAATATGAGTTTTTACTATCAAGCATTTTTTCATACACTTAACTAAGTAGTGACATAATAAATTACTTTCAATAAAACAATGTTTTATTGAAAATTCTTTACAAAATTTTAAAATTCTTAATCTCTAGGATAGTTTTTTTCTTACTTAGTAACAGTTGTTAATGAGTGAAATTTATTTATTAGTTTAAACGTTTTTAGCTAATGTGAAAAAAACCAACAATATACGTTTTAATGTAACACATTTGATAGCAAATGTCGAAACTAATTTCTGTTGTCGTTAAAGCATAGGTTTCAGGTTTCCTTATTATATATATATATATATATATATATATATATATATATATATCACATCCGTTCATTTATACTTTTCATTTAGGTTATTTTGTACTTAAATAGAAAGTACAGAAAACCAACTTCGGTATTCATTTTATTTTCTCTTGTTAAGTATAAATTCAGCCACGCTGTAGCAAAAATGAAATTGCCTTTGAATGAAGTTATTTACATTGGAAGTGATCAATACCCCTAACTTTTCAACGTCAATAATTATCCTAAGTCATTTCATTGCTTTTTAGCTAAATTTTATGAAACACAAGACTGAAAATATTCATGTACACTAGACTATTGATTTACATCATAATATAAAATCTATAATATATTTTATTGAAGACGTTTGTTATATCCCGTGAATGGTACCTTTGAGGACCGAGCAGTGCTCAAGACTGTTCATACGATTTTGTGTATCATTAGGCGATCAATAAATTAACTGCTCTCCAATTGGCGGTTGTATAACATCATATATATCAACTGGGTAAGAACGTACACACACAATTGATATAACAACTGGGCACGCACACGTTATAACACGTTTTATTAAAAAATCTAACCATTGAAGTGAAAAACAAACAAACAACTCAGAGTATAAAAAAATGATGAGATATACCTGTTTACCGAAATACTCCATATTGATCAGAATAATTTACTAGGTAAACTTAATTCTAGACTGTAGATGTAGCACATCATTGATGATTTTTTTTTAATGTATGATATGTAAATTATACAAATGTACATGCAAACGTACATCCTGAGAGAACTGTTTAGACTTGGCATTAAGTTACAAATTTGTGTAAACACCAAATATACTTACATTTGTGGCAATACTATATTGAAGCAACCGACCCAAGACTTATGTATGATTAAAGTGACTGAGTGTTTGCGTTCTTGAATATTAACAGTTTAAAATTACAAGACCTTATTATTATCCTTATACCCGTTAAGCAATTTGATCGTAATATAGACCCAGTAGCTCAGTGGATAGTGAACCGGGCGTTTGAAGAGAAAGGTGCTGATTGCAAATCTCAGAGTAGAAGTACTTTGATGCAGGTATATCCACCTTGTGAATTCCATACAGGATGAAATACAATCCTTCAATCCCACTGCTAATCAAATACTAAGCAAATTTCTGGCTATAATTGTTTGGGAAATAATTTTCGAAACATTTTATTTCTCTCTTCTTGTCAAAAAACATTTCAGTATTTTGGCATTGAATTTTTCCTTAAACTTCAATCTACAGGATTACGGTCAGTTGTTAGATCATATTCGTGACATAATTCTAGCAACTGATTTGTCACATCATCTTCGCATAATGCCGAAATTGGAAGAACTGTCTCATAGAGGATATGATGGGACGAAATCGGAGGATCATTATCTTCTTTTATGCCTCTTAATGACTTCAGCTGACTTGAGTGATCAAACCAAATCTTGGAACAACACAGTTTATGTCGCGAAATTAATTTATGAAGAATTTTTCCAACAAGGTGATATGGAAAAATCATTAGGACATAATCCAGTCGATAGTATGGATAGAGAACGAGCATGTGTGCCAAATTTGCAAATTTCTTTCCTGGATTACATAATCACACCACTATACAAGTAGGTTTAATTCTTCATTTAGCGACATAGTCTATTAAACAATGAGTGTTACCTTTGTCACCTATGTATTCCAAATACCATTTAGATTATGATTTTGATGTTCTGACCATTATTTCTTGGTGAAAATTTACAATGTTGTCACTACTAGGATTTATAGAGTTTTGTCGTAATTCCTGTAGCGAAATACCATGTGTTAATTGTCAGTAAACGAATGTCTATTATTTCAGTGTGTTCTCTATGGAATAACATATTCTAAATAACTTACATATTGACTGGTGATACCCTATGTGAGCAAAACGATGGTAGAGAATATGCCAGAAATATTACATTATTTGATTTGTCATACTGAAAAGTGTTTTCACTAAATCATCAACGCATTTAAATTCTATGTAATTTTGAAAGAATGCACTTTTTTCTTAAAGTTTATGATTTCCTGAAATAAAACAATTAGGCTGATTAGTTGGATGATGACAGACAGTCTTAAAGCTTCTATAGAAGTAAATCTTGGCCACTAGTGTCAATTATAAGAGTGTCTGAAGGAGTCTATCACAACAAATTTTATTCACCTGATAGCTTTGGACAAATAGGCTTACGTAACAGTAACTTAATGGACCTGGACATTTAATTCTACCATATCATTTCTCAACATTTACTAACTTCAGACTGATTTAAACTTCAGAATAAAATAACCATTTCTAAGTACTTCTGATAAAAAGGTAACTGTTTCTCATCTAGAAGGTCAAGTATATTATTACGTGGTAAAAACAGAAATATCTTTTTCCTTTCGACTTTACAACTATCCTTTTGAAAAAAACTAAGGGTGAATTTAAACATGTCATTCGTTTATTGGAATACGTAGCCTCTTCAAAACATCACCGATTTATGAATATAAACCTACTCAATTCTTGGTCATCATTCTCCAACCACCCCTGGGACTCTTTAAATGATTCGTCGTATCCATATCGTGATCTGCTTTAATGCAACCAGATACTCGGAGACAATATGAAAGCTTATTTTCACAGTCCAACAGATGTCGGTCAGCATCATGTAAGATATTTGGTATACAAATAAAAAGAGATCATGAATATCAAACTGGCTAAATTTGATACGGAATTTTCGCATGATGTAACTCGTCATGTATTTCGCTATGTTCTTAGCCATCAACCTTACTACTTTAATGCGCGTACACTCTGAAAACACGTTGTATGCAATTGTTCTTAAATAATTAATGATTACATGTTTGAAAAGTAAATCCAGTTACTCCAGCATACATTTAAACTTTAGTTTTTGTTGAAATATCCAGAACGTTTGAGACAAATAACATGTATCTTGCAAAGTATGTTCATATACGTTGTTGACTTCTATCATTTCACCAGTTTCACATGGGAGTAATATTCTATTCTTTAGGTGTTTTTCTCATATCAATCCAACTAATCTTTCTTAGTTTGATCATAATGGTAGCTTCAACAGCATTGATATATTTGATCCAGGTTTAAACAAAAAACACATTATAAGGGCAATAATTTCCACTGGCCTGTTTTATTATGTCTAGATTGTATATTATTCTGACCGTTCACTCTACAGGATATATGTGGTCATATTCTGAAGCTTGATAAATGCAACAAAACAATTTGAGATATGATAAAAAAGAACTTAAAAATAATGTTTTAGTAAATATTGCAAAATTTTGGCAGAACAATTAAATTTTGTAACAGATGAATATTGTAACAAAAAATCTCGCTCTTTTTTTGCTACATGTCTTTTTCATAACCATAGGGTACTGAACAATTTATATCCACAATGCTCAAGTATTTTAGATACTATAGAGAAAAATCGTGATAACTGGAAAATAATTCTTGAACTTGTTGAAAAAGGTGATATTAAAGGTAATGGTTCAGAGATATTCAATCATAATCTTGTTGGAATATTGGCTCAGTTACAATTGAAATCAACAACGGGACCAACATCATAATCTTTGACGCCGTCAGTTGTACAACCACTTTCATCATCTTCATCATCATTAAAACCAGATATATAAAATTAACAATTTTGTGATGTAAATTAACTTAAAAAATGATTTTCCTCTTTCATACTATGTGTAGATTATCAAACAATCATTTATTTCCTTTTATAATGTGACAAATATATCTATTGTATTGTAGGTGTACATAAATCAGTTGATTAGAAATAAACATATTAAAAATATCTTACATATTTGTAAAAAAAACATCAGAGATTGAAATCAAAATTACTTCTACAGTTCAGCTGGACAGTTTGTATTGAGCTTCTTTGGGGAAAGCGATCAAATCTCAGAAATATTAGGTTGAAAATAAGAGTCAAACAACGACGGATTTCATTATAAAATGTTGAAAGATGGTGATTAAAGTGTGAACACCAGTTATTTCATGTAAAATTTTCTTGAACTATAGTTAGTACATAAGTTTACGTGTCTTTGGAGATTTTTTGTGTAAAATCGTTGTACTTAGTCTATGATATGGTCACCGTTCAAACTTGTCAGAAGATGAACTTTAAGAAAAGAATTAAACAAGATTATGTTTTAATAGCTACGTCAAACGAACTGGTTGTCAAAGTCGTATCTAAACACGATAACGGGTGCACTGATTGAATGTATGTCTCTGCTGTCCACTGAACCTGAAATGAAAAAAGGGTAGTGTGTTAAATTTATGCTGACTTATTAACACATAGTTGCATTTGTACAGCCAATTGTATTCCATCACGTCGATTCAAACCATTTTGGGTTATTCAACTGTGTAAGCCATCGGTTATTAATCTTTCTTTTCGAGAACCAAGACTATTTTGAGGGACTCTTATTTAACCAAAGTTCATTATGTGTCCTGTTTCTATTTCAAGTAATGCTGTTTGAGATTTTCTGTCACTAAATAGTGGAAAAAGTAACAACCAATACATTTATTGTTACTGATATCGGTGAAGCAACAAATGACGATCGATTAGTCAACATCCTTCATATAGGCTTGTATTTAGCAGATAGATCTTAAGACATAATCGATGAATAACGAATCCCAATAATATGTGATATGTATACATTAGTTAATTATCGTTACTCATCAATCACTAAATTAACCAATCATAACTCTTCAGAAGTTATACTAGGATGAGTAGCCACCAGTCATAACCGCAAGCATGTATTTTATTATTTGATGATAGTATTTAAAATTTCAAATATTGACGTTGTTATGAATATACGTAAACAACCCCCATCATTGGATTCAGTCGTAAGTAAAGGTAACGTGAAAGTGAGTGAGAAAAGTTATGGTTCATCAAGTTATATTATTAAATATCAGTGTACATAACACCAGAATTAAACTTTTGACGAGACACAATCATCACAGTGAACGGTATTTGTTCTTTAACTAGTCGGAAATGTTAAAATTGATAGAAATCGATTTATATATGGGTTCTTTTTTCTGTAATGTCCTAATCTTTCCTTTCTTATTTCAAATGATTTATTTGACCTTATTTTTATCTGATTATTTATTCATGATGTTTAAAATACAATGCAACAATCACTGTTGAAAGCCAAATGGCTTCTTTTTGGATTATATATTTCTTATCGTTGATTATTTATTCATAATTAACTTAACTAGACTATTTTTCGGCATATGACCATCAACTTATATTAAATATGTATACATTATGGATAGATTATTAGTTACTTTATCTACGGAATTAAAATAATTTCAAAACATTTATGCACATGATGTAAGGAGTTCAAATAGATCCTTATCAATTTTATAGTTATCAACTTTAACTAGTGATTAAAATGATACTACCCAAGTGCCCAAACTGAAACCGATGGTTTTCTTAAGGGACCACAGTCGGAGCCTTTGACCTAAAGGTCTGATCCACAAGGCAGTGGAGCATCGTGAGAAGATGCAGTCCCATGGTAGCCGGTGACCAACGATTGATTTATACGCCATTTTCTTCCCTCAGGATACTGGAGCCCATGTTAACCATTGGTTTGAAATCAGGGTTTTCCAACTCCCCTAGGTGGACTCGCCGTGTCCACCAACCTGGTTAAAGCGCCGAACATTCGCTTTTCGTCCTCTCAATTTCGTAAACAACAGTAATGCCACGAGAAGGCAGTGGGTAGGACTTCCCTGTCAGATGCTATATACACGTGGCCATGTGAGAGCATTTGGAGAGGGAGAGCGGACTCTCGCCACTCTCGGCCGTACTAGGGCATCGTTTGATATATAGAATAATATTAAATTTGTCAGTATTCATGAACATTTCGTTAGCAAGCAAAATGGATAGATTTTTATAAAACTATAAGTAATATTAAATCACAAGAAAAATAAAAATAAAATTTTTAATATTAACACGAATCAATTACTCAACCCAATACAGTAATTGATCCAAAATAAATTAAAAAATAACAACACAAGATTAACATCAAATAATTTTTTGGAAGCAAAAATGATTCAATATATAAGAACTTTCGTCTAAATTAGAGCGAATAGTTTCACAGTATTTGGGCGCCGAATTGTTTTAAGACATGAAATAAGAATAATCTATTTGTAAAATCTCAGTGAATTAATTTGGAGTAAATCCAACGTTTCGCCTGGCAAAATGATTCAATTAGAAAAAAACAACATATAAACTGTATGGTATCTCTATGAATCAAATATGTTGTGTAATGTTTAGTTTCACTATCTATGTATTAAAACAATCTGATATACTCTCATTTTTAAATGTGCCTGTATTCAGATATTGATATTAATTTGAATGTATCATTCGTTAAACAAAAAAATTATAAGAACAACGGAACAAATCTCAAATTACATTTTTTAATTCCTGAATATGTTTTACACTCAAATATCAAAAACATGATGGTATCTATTGACTTTACATTTATTAAATCTTCTATAAAAGAAGTCTTCGATGGACATCATATAAAACTCTTTTACATTAGTATTTTAGCAGATACAGTAAGTCTGATCAGTCTTTCATAGCATAAAATTCGATACATTCGGGTTAATAATATATAAATATATTATTTACTAATTTTACGAGGAAGAATCTGAGACTAGAAAAACGACAGACGAATAAAAGTTCTAAATACCTAGAATATTCTTTTTCAATGTTCAATCAAAAACAGGAGTTAATTGAACAAATGAAAAATTGTGACTTGAAATAAAAAGAAACTTAATCTTTTTATTTTGATAATTTTAATTCAAATTTTTATTTTTGAATAATAATAGATTCTTTCTAGTCAAACTATTTTTTTCTTTAAATCTCATTTTATTTAATGGAATACTACAAACAACCAAGAGTAGATGTTGCAGAAAATAAATAGTTAAACTTTTAGTCTTTTGAGAAAGTGAGACTGGATAGTTTTTTAAGAAGTTTGTTGCTTATATGTCTACACACTCAAAACACCCTCATGACACCTTAATTGTTTGTTATACACTTACTAAGTAGACTTATGCACTTGGTATTGTATACTTGTATCTTCCGATTGTTATTTAGGACTGCAATTGATCAGTCTCCTGTTGGCATATGTGTATCCTATACGGACTGCCTCGATATTGCATGAAGTCACAAGTTTTGTAAGCAAAGGTGTACAGTGACTAGCAATGGAATTCAGGATGCGCGTTTCGTCCTATTTGGGACTCGTCAGAGATGTACCTGCATTTCAGAGTTGATGTTCACTCTGGGACTCAGATCCAGTACCGTTCGCCTCAAACACCATCGCGTTATCCACTTAGCAACTGAATCTTGATAGACAGTAATATAATTTTTATTCTTTTTGGGTGTTTTACAATAATATGCTAACTTTTGTGATATACTTGCAAAATGCACAAAATTCTGTTTAGATAATATTATTAAGTTTTTAGTACTTAAGTTTGCTTAACGAGACATATAGTCGGTTACTTTCCACTGAACTGCATTAAGAATGTGAAGAAATAGATAACTAGTCTAAATCGCCAAACATATTTGAAGATTATTTAACTCGGTCCAAATCAATTTTAGTGGATTATCCATCTGTTTAGACACTATTGGTTTTCATGTTGATTATTGGCAGTAATACTACTGATAACCATATAAAATAAATTTTATTTTAGCATGTCATTCATTCCTTAATAAGGACTTCAATGCTGTTCTTAGTCACACATAGTTTCCTGAAACAGAAAGCGTGATATATTTCATTTAACTTAGACCAAACAAAACACTGATCATTTAATTGATATTGCATACATTTTTTAGTGCGAATCGCTCCTAATGACAAAGAAACAGGTTCTATACTTTACAGCCTCAGCGGCATATACTTCATAAAAAATGAGATAAAATTTTCTTTCGCTACTTACGAATTTATTCTTTATAGAAAATCAAATCACAAATAGTATAATTCTTTACAAAAAGAAACATTTCCGATACGGTAACATGATATCAGTTCATAAATATTGAAATGTAAGGCTTTGGTGAATATTAGTTCAGTAAACAATCGATATAACAGAACGGTATCAAAGATAAATATGGTTGACCTGCACATCATTTATATTTTTTTCTTTAAATTAGTGAAGTCTCATATAACTTTTGACCTAATATCCATTCTATATTCAATCTTTGTCTATTTTTACTTCAGTAATGAAGTGCAACCGAATGATTGGCAGATTAACTTTGTGGATGTGAATGAAAAAATATATTGCTGTTTATTTATTTTATGTAAAATAAATTGGTCTTCACTTTAAAATGTTGTTAATGAATTAACTTCTAATCATTTCTATTTCTTTTCTATAATATGTTCAGTAAATAAACTTTTATCAGATATTCAATAGAATCGGGATATATTGTTAACACTTTGACAAATTGATGAGATAAGATTAACTAGTTATCTTCTGAATATCATTATAATTAGAATCGAAACTGTATTATATCAATAGAACCTATTCAAATAATTTTTTTGGTCTGGCAAAACACCAATATGTT